GTTATTGATTCACTGCTGTTCGTCTTCGGTTTCCGAGCTAGCAAGATGCGACAGGGCAAGATCTCTGCTCTCATTCACAACTCTGCAAAGTTTCCGAATTTGGATCATTGCGAAGTTGCTGTCTACTTCCAGGAGGTCATAGACCAGGTAAGGAGATCGATGTCCTTTTGCGATCCTAGACTAACTTTCTAGCCTGGTGGTGGCCATGAGGTTATCCCTAACTCCGAGCTCATCATTTCCCGAAAGGCCTTCAAGAACAACTCCAGCAAATATTACATCAATGGCAAAGAATCCAATTTTACGACAGTCACCACTCTCCTTCGCGATCGCGGTGTCGATCTTGACCACAAGCGATTCCTGATTCTCCAAGGTGAGGTCGAGTCGATTGCTCAGATGAAGGCCAAGGCTGGTAACGAACACGAAGACGGTCTCCTCGAATATCTCGAGGACATTATTGGCACTTCCAAGTACAAAGCGCCCATCGAAGAGTCTGCCACCGAGGTAGAGACCCTCAATGATGTCTGCATGGAAAAGAGCGGTCGTGTTCAGCACGTTGAGAAGGAAAAGAACAGCCTTGAAGACAAGAAGGACAAGGCGATCGCCTACATTCGCGATGAGAATGAGCTGGCGATGAAGCAATCTGCTCTTTACCAATTGTTTATTCACAAGTGCAATGAGAATATTGCTGTTACAGAGGAGGCTATCAGCCAAATGCAAGCTCAGTTGGATGCCGAGCTGGAGAAGCACCATGGAGGTGAACAGATCATCAAGAGTCTCGAGAAGGACTACGCCAAGGGTGCTAAGGAGTTTGAAGCGCAAGAGAAGTCAACGCAAGCTTTGGTCAAGGAGATGGCCAAGTTTGAGCAGGAGCGTGTCAAGTTCGATGAGAAGCGAAAGTTCTTGGACGACAAGCGTAAGAAGCTTGAGAAGGCCATCGCCAACGCCGAAACGAACTCTGCTGAAGCCGACGAAACCATCGAGCAGTGTGGAGAGGAAATCGAGAACCGAACCCAGGAGATTGCGGAACTCGAGGAACAGATCCAGACTGCAGAGGCTGAGCTTGCTCGAATTAGAGATAGTCTAAAGGGCAAAACACAAGCCTTCTCTGATCAGATTGCAGCCAAGCAGAAGTCTCTTGAGCCTTGGAATGAGAAGATCAACCAGAAGCAGTCCGCTGTCGCTGTCGCTGAGAGTGAGCTCAACATCCTTCAAGAGAAGGCCAACGCCGGCGCTGTCGCTCTCCAAGACCTTGAGACCAAGATCGCTTCGATTGAGCAGGGCAAGAAGGCCAAGCGCGCCGAGCTCAAGTCCTGTCAGACCGAGAAGACTGAGCTTCTGGAGGAGGCAGAGAAAATGAAGTCGGAGCTCAAGGTTCTTTCTGAGCAGGAGCCCAAGATTCGCTCTAAGATCTCGAATGCGCGCCAGAAGGCTGACGAAGCCCGCTCAAGCTTGTCTAACACACAGGCTCGTGGCAACGTTCTCGCTGCCTTGATGCGCATGAAGGAGTCTGGTCGAATTGATGGCTTCCATGGACGGCTCGGTAACCTTGGTACGATTGATCAGAAGTACGATGTCGCCATCTCAACAGCTTGTGGTGCCCTCGATAACTTTGTCACTGAGACTGTCGAGGCTGGTCAGCAGTGTATCGAGTATCTGCGAAAGAACAATGTTGGACGTGGTAACTTTATCTGTTTGGACAAGCTGAGGGTCCGAGACATGTCGCCTATCCAGACACCCGAGAACGCTCCCCGATTGTTCGACCTCGTCACTGCCAAGGAAGATAAGTTCCGAGCTGCTTTCTACCACGCCATGCAAGATACTCTTGTTGCTGTTGACCTCGCCCAGGCGAACAGAATCGCATATGGCGCCAAGCGATGGCGAGTCGTCACCCTCGATGGTGAGCTCATTGACAAGTCCGGTACCATGTCCGGTGGTGGCTCAACTGTCAAGAGAGGCCTCATGTCTTCCAAGCTCGTCTCAGACGTCAGCAAGGAGCAGGTCGCCAAATTTGAAAGTGATCGCGATGGCTGGGAGAAGCAGTTCAAAGATTTCCAAGATTATCAACGCGAGTGCGAGACACGACTCAGGGAGTTGGACGAGGTGATTCCTCAGCTGGACACCAAGATGCAGAAGATTGGTCTTGAGATTCAGAGCGCCGAGCGAAACATCGCCGATATGCAACGACGCATGAAGGAAGTCAGCAAGGAGCACCAGCCCTCGGCCTCTGACAACAGTCGTATCGCTGCTCTGCAGAAGGAGATTGCAAAGCTCAATAAAGAGATCGAGAGACTCCACGAAGAGACCTCCAGCGTAGAGGATGAGATCAAGGCTCTGCAAGACAAGATCATGGAAGTTGGTGGTGAGAAGCTTCGTGCGCAAAGGGCCAAGGTCGACTCTATCAAGGAGGAGATATCCTCCAACAACGAAGAGATCTCCAATGCTGAGGTCCGCAAGGTCAAGGCGGAGAAGCAGAAGACCAAGCTGGCGAAGGATCATGCAAAATCGTCCAAGGAGCTCGAGGCTGCTACTCGGGATCTTGAGAAGCTTGAGAACGACATCAACAACCAAGGCGAGAGGGCTGAAGAGCTCCAAGCTCAAGCTGAGGAGGCTGAAGAAGGATTGGCGGCTAAGAAGAAGGAGCTTAAGGCGCTCAAGAGCGAACTTGACGAGAAGACGGCTGAGCTCAACGAGACGAGAGCGGTTGAGATTGAGATGCGCAACAAGCTTGAGGAGAACCAGAAGGCTCTTCTTGAGAACCAAGCACGACTTCGCCACTGGGATGATAAGCTGTCAAAGATTGTTCTGCAAAACATTGATGACCTTACTGGAGGCTCATCGGGCAGTCGGTCTAAGAAGCCCAAGTCACAGCCCAAGCCCCAGACGGATGACGATGATGATGTCGACATGGATGATGCCCCTCAGGACGATGTGGACATGACCGACGCTCCTCAAGAGGAAGAGCAAGAAGAGGATCAAGAAGAGGACGAAGACGAGGATGAATCTGTTCATGGGCAGCCAAACGAGCTTCCGAGATACACACCCGACGAGCTTGCTGACATGAATGAGAGGACACTCAAGGGTGAGATTGCAGCTCTCGAGGAGAAGACTCAAAATGTCAACGTCGATCTCGGTGTGCTGGCTGAATACCGAAGACGCGTGGAAGAGCACGCTGCTCGTGCCTCAGATCTCCAGACTGCCATTGAACAGCGAGATTCCGCCAAGAAACGATGCGACGACTTACGTCGTCTACGCTTGGAAGGTTTCATGGAAGGATTCAGCGCCATTTCCCTCCGACTCAAGGAAATGTATCAGATGATCACCATGGGCGGAAACGCAGAGCTCGAACTCGTCGACAGCTTAGATCCCTTCAGCGAAGGTATCCTCTTCAGCGTCATGCCCCCCAAGAAGAGCTGGAAAAACATCAGCAATCTTTCCGGTGGTGAAAAGACACTCAGCAGTCTGGCCCTCGTCTTCGCTCTGCACCACTACAAGCCTACCCCTCTGTATGTCATGGACGAGATCGATGCTGCGCTGGATTTCAGAAACGTGAGTACTACCCCAACCCAAGACACTCGGCTACAATTCGACCACACTCGCGTGGGCATTCCACATGCGAATCCATCTTCAACTCTGATTGAATCAGTATGCTAACACTCAGCGCAGGTCTCGATCGTCGCAAACTACATCAAGGAGCGTACCAAGAACGCCCAGTTCATCGTCATCTCGCTGCGCAACAACATGTTTGAGCTTGCGGCGCGGTTGGTGGGCGTGTACAAGGTCAATCATATGACCAAGAGTGTCACTATTGAGAACAAGGACTACATCGAGAGACCGCCGGGACACTCGTCGCAGCAGCGCACGCAGGTTGGGGGTAGTAATACGACGATATTGCCCTTTCGGTAAGGGGTGAGAGGTGCTTGTATATGACGATGATGACGACTATGGATAAGGCTTTGGCGGGTTATTTTAATGATATGGAGGCTAGATTTATGATATATCCAATGTTTGGTGTTTTCTGATATCCCTCATCTTTGACCTCTCCTCGACTCACCTCGTTCACTCCCGTTGTGTCCAGCTAACACTCACATGCCACATCACCCTCACTCATCTTTCCTTTCCCACCGTGAGAAAGACTCAACCTGAACCCCGTCCTCCCCTCGTGTCACACTCGCGTCCCACGATCCAGGAACCAACTCCCGTGTCACCGAGCGCGTCTAGACCTGAAGACCTGGGACATTAAGGATCCCCAAGCGAACCCCTGCACGCACCCGCGCCCTCTTCGATCTCGCAGCCGTCGATGCCGTACCACGCACCCAAGTGCCGGTCTTTCTCGGCTCTGCATGTGTGTCTTGCACGTCACGATGCTGTGTCTCGGCAGATTATACGTGGGCGGCCTCGACAATGGATATGGCTGCTGTACGTCCTATAAGTAACGCCTACAATCAAGCCAAGCTTCAGCTATTCTCGTTTCATTGCTATACACTCGTTTTACGCATCATGTTGATGCTACTCCCCCTCGTCGTTCACTTGGTCACTGCTTTTCCTGCAAACTGGAACGAATCGATTGCGTGTCCGCATGATGATCTCTACTCATCGCTCGTTCAAGATGACGGCGAGTTTTGTTCTAGTGTTCTCGAGGGAAATCATTGCGGTGCGGGATATAGTACGCCTGTGGAGTATGTGAGGTATAATCAGACGAGGATAGCTTCATATGTGAGTGGTTTGCGATGAGTTTGGATGATTGCTTATGAGTTGCAGTGTGAGTGTATTGTGACGAGTGCGGGTGCAAGCACTACGGAGGCTAGGACGAGAGGGTACTCGGATTCGACGGAGGCGTCGGTGGGACAGCCTGGGTCGGGGACGTATGCTGAGACTACTACTGAAGGAGTGTATTCGACAACTGAAGGGTCGTGGAATCAGACTGTAGCGTCTAGTGCAGAGACGACAGCGAGAGAGACGACAGGAGATGTCCCGAGGACGACATACACCAACAGCAGCAATCAAACTACAAGATCAGCCAGCGAGAGCTTCACGAGATCAGATTCAGCAGCTTCATGGAACACCACCACAGAGTCCCCAGCAGATGACCAAGGTCCCTTCTCAGCATCCTTCTCAAGCGAAGACCAAGCATCTACTTCACCGTCTAGCAACGGCACCCAAAGCCTCTCGGATGTAACATCACGAGCATCGACCCATTCATCTGGAATGACAAGATCTGGCGCTACAAGCGATTCGCTACCGTGGTCGATTCCTGGTAACTCGACGTCGAGTCCTGTGGAGAGTGGGACACGTCTGACGGGGTGGAACTCGAGTGTTACTGCCCCGAGCGGCGGTATTTCTAGGACAGGACCTATCTCTACTGATACGGGTTCTACGGTGTCTGTGACGACTGGTTCTGAGATGACAGGTGGCAGTGTAGGTCCAGCGTGGAACACGACTTCAGCCCCAACAGGGAATGGTTCAATTTCAACTGTTAGTCTCTCAAGTGGAACTTTCATCCCATTCCCGACAGCTTCAGACCTTACAAACACCGGTAGTTCATCGAGTGGCAGCGCGGCTCCAGGTGGGAACACCACCTCTGACAGAGGAAATGGCTCGTTTCCAACAATCACCATGCCGTTCCCAACAGCTTCAGAATCCGCAAGCCCTGGCCTCTCTTCAAGTGGAAACGTCGGCCCAGGGTGGAATGGTACTACCTCCGTTTCTGGGGGTAATGGCTCAGTTCCTACGGTCAGTATCTCTAGCGGGACGTTCGTGCCATTCCCAACGGCCTCGGTCTCGGCAAGCTCTGGTGGTTCATCAAGCTGGAATGGTACCACGTCGAGAGGGAATAACTCGGTACCGACGGTCAGTATCTCGAGTGGCACATTCGTTCCATTTCCAACCTTGTCACTGTCAAGCCAAGGAAGCTCGGGGAGTAGCTTCGGGCCCAGCTGGAACAGCACGTCTCTTCCTTCTGGAGGAAATACGTCGGCACCGGTAACCAGTGCTCCCAGCGGGACCTTGGTGCCTTTTCCAACGTCTTCAGGAGTGCTCACTTCAGGAAGCAGTGTCGGCCCGAGCTGGAACAGTACCGCTCTTCCCCCTGGTGGTAATACCTCGTTGCCGACACTCAGTGCTTCGTCTTCAGCGCAATCCTCTTCAGCAGGGATAACTTCAGGTAGTAGCTTAGGCCCAAGCTGGAACAGTACCTCCCTCCCGTCAGGTGGTAACGTATCAGTACCAACTGTAAGCACATCGAGTGGGTCATTTGTGTCATTCCCGACAGTGCCATTCCCAGGTTCATCCTCCTCAGAGGCTACAGCAGGGAGCAGCTTGTCTCCAAGTTGGAACACCACTTCTCTGCCTTCAGGTGGCAATACCTCGATACCGACTGCCAGCACCTCCAGCAGGTCATCTGCTCTGTTCCCGACGGTATCACTTCCAGGTTCATCATCCTCGGAAGAAGCTGCATCAGGGAGTAGTGTCTCCCCGAGCTGGAATACCACGTCTCTACCTCCTGGCGGTAACTCCTCTGTGCCAACCGTTAGTACATCCAGCGGGTCCTTCATACCGTTCCCTACGATATCACTACCAAGTCAATTCTCGTCAGCGGAAGCAGCATCGGGCAGCAGTGTCTCTCCAAGCTGGAATAACACTGCTTTACCATCCGGTGGCAACGTGACTATACCGACCATCAGTATATCTCCGTCGCAAACCTTTGTCCCGTTTCCAACTCAGCCTTTCCCAAGCGATACTCTGACAACAGGTCCAGAGACAAGCGATAATCAGTTCCCAAATCGGAACAGAACTACTATACCAGGGGTTAACTTCACTATACCGTCCATCAGTATAACTCGGGGTGGGACATTGCCCTTTCCTACACTGCCGCTGCCGAGTGAGTCGATCACGTCTGAGCCAGGGAGTGGAACAAACTCAGTGCCAGGGAGCAGCGCATTTCCGAGCTGGAATGGCACCATTTCTGCGCCTGGAGGTAATGTCTCCGTCCCGACCATCAGTGCATCGCAGGCGGAGACGTCATCGCTGGTTTCGTTCCCAAGTGTATCTTTGCCGACCGTTTCTCAAGTAACGTCAGGCTCGGGCCGAAGTGAGAGTGTGGCGACTGGTTGGAACACAACGACTGGAGGATCTGAGGGCTCTGGTTCTGTTGCGACTGTCAGCTCCTCTGAGACTGGTCCAATCGTGACGTTGCCAACAGAGTCAGGTATTCTTACGAGTAGTTCTCAAAGTGGCGGCGTTGGTTGGAACATCACATCCTCCATCTCAGGCATCGTCTCTCTCCCAACCATCAGCGTACCAACCTCTGAAATCCCAACTCTCCCCTTTCCAACAGACTCTTCGGAAGTTCCCAGCACTACCGTTAGCGAAAGTGCTGTTCCCAGCGGTGACACAACGGGCTCTGAGCTTGGGAGTACTGGAACCGTTACATCCTTCTCGAGTCCTGTGGCTGCAACTTCAACGTCCGCCGCCTCCAACGGTCCCGCGTCACCAGGTAGTAACGCAACGACAACTGGCGTTCCCGAGTTCCCTGCCGCCAACTTCACCCACGTTACACGCACCGCCGCCATCTCGCAAGAAACATGCTACACACTCCCCAATCCAGACGGCGATTCGACCCGTCGAGCGTTGTTGTACAACGCCAGACTTCGAGAAGACAACGTCTCAATCCCCATTCCGTACATTGAGTCTGTTGAGTTTGAGAAAGATGGTATTAACCCGCTGTATCTCACTGTTCGCGATGAACAAGGTGGTATCTTCTATGTCGACATTTCTCATCGGGGTCGGCTCTCAGTCGTTGATCCCAATGGGTACCTGGTCACGCTTGATGCTGAGGGGATTCACTTCTCGGGGAGTAACTGCACGTATGACATATCCATCTCGATTGACGATATGTACGAGCAGATTGCCGACTTGGCGGGTGTACAATGTGCTGCACTCAAACGTAAGCGCGCCGAGGACTTGGACTTCAGCCAGGTTCTGTACCTGCATGACCAGTGCGGGAATCCCGTTGATAGATCGGTCAGGCAGTATCCTCAGCTTCTTGTAGGCGATACAGTCTGTGCGGATGTCGCTGTTGATGATGAGACTGGTCGCTGGGACTTTGAGTGTACGTTTCCGGGATCTGAGTCTGGGTCTTTGAAATGTCAGTTGGCTATCAAGAACAAGGTCGTCGACTTTATCAGTACAGATCCATTCGGTGGTGCATGTCCAGACTTGTCCACTGTCGTCACGACACTTGAAGAATCAGGGCAAGACATCGTTGACCATGAACAGCTTCGCAAAGACCTTGCCAATCAGGGTCTGTCCAGCGACAGAGCAAAGCAAGAGGCTGGTGCAGCTGTTGATGCGTACACTCAACTCTGGCAAGCTCTCGGAGCAATCTTCACCAAGAACACAGAGACTTCACAGGGTGCGTTGGAAGACTACATCGACGTATACAACACCCACCGAAACTTCGAAAACGACATCTGTCAATCCCTCCACGAAGGCGAAATCCCCCTCAATCTAACCCTCATCGCCGGCGCAACAAGCATCCCCGCCATAACAACCCTCAACTGGGCCCCCGAGACAACAAAACCCTACAACATCACAGTCCAGGACTCATCACGCATCGCCTGCTGTCCCAACAGCGCAGTCGCAGAAGGCGAAGGCGCTACGTGTTCGTATCCTCGCGATGCCATCATCCCCGGCACAGGGTGCGTCTGCGGTAAGAGCGCGTCGGGTGTAGGGATCGCGTTTGAGTGGACGGAGTGTACGAATTACAAGGGGAGTTGTGAAGCTGATGGGGATTGCGGGGATGGGTATCTGTGCTTGACGGGGAGTTGTTGTGGTGGGGGTGTTTGTGTTGATGCGTTTGCTTGTTCGGAGAATGGGACAGATTTGGTGCAGCAGTTTGATGGAGGGTTTTAGGGTAGATTGGGTGTATATTATCGAGTGAGCATTCAGCAACGCAAGAGGAGTAATTCGTTGGATAATCTTATCTAGACATCGTCGACTTGTTTGAGGAAATTATTTAATGTTCGATTGACTTTCAACGTTCAATAAACGGTGCTCAGTGAATTGATTGTCGTAGAAATGCCATTTTGAATTTGAGCATGACCTCACATCATCTCCAAAAGTTCGCCACAATTCACCACCAGCATTTCAATCACAACGGATATAACAGACGGCTTCCGAATGATGTCCAGATACGCACGAGGCCATGGACAGCGTCAATTATTACAGTTAATTGAGTGTTCACACCAACAAGACGAGCCTAACAACAGGCGACGCAATGGGATCATATCGACACACATTCAAACAGGTCATTGGAAGCGACGTGACACTCAGTCGCATTCATCCAATATTCAAGTCAAAAACAGTCACATCAATCACACAAAGCAAGGAAAGGAACAAGTAGATGTTTGTCAATGACGTGTGGACATCAAACGTCGTCCGATTGAATTTTGGAATCTCTTAGACTCATAATCCCAAAGGTATTCATCCCATCCGTGATTTTTTTGAATGATGCTATCATAACCGGACTCCATCCCAAGACAATCATATCAACCCACCACTTAAGCCTTAGGGGCAGTAGGGACGATCTTCTTGCCGTCCTTGTTGTAGCGGACGCGAGGGGGAGGGGCACGGTTGCGTCGGCCAACGACGGATCGGACACTATAACATTTCTGGTCAGCTTCGAGGGTCTGGGGAGAAACGTACTGGGAGTGTGGGCATCAACTGCGCAGCAGGTCTGGGAGTGTGTATGGTCTTCATGATGAACATGAATAAAAGTACTCCAAGGCTCATCTGAAGCACATACGCAACCAGGGCGCAGTTGTCACACTCCCGGGGAGGACAACGTACCGGACAATCTTGCCGTGAATGGCGCAAGAGACGCAGTACTGCAGCTTCAGGTACATCTTGGGCACGGTGTACTCCGCGAAGACGGAGGCATCCGAGATGTCACCTGTGAATTAAATTGTAAGCGAGAGTTCCATCGAGCAGAAGCGAGGACTGGAGAAAACGTACGAATAGCAGCAGACTCAACCATGTTGCGGATGGTGAATCTCTTGATCGCCTTGTCCTTGGGGGTGCATCGCGAGCAGTTGCTGCATCGGATGGGCTTGACGTGGCCGCGGCCCTTCTTGTTTCGGCCGCTGTAAGAAGAAACTTGTTAGCGATTTGTTCAAGTGTGAGGTTGAGCCGTTCAATCGTTGTCGAGCATCATCGTGGCGACAGTTGGTGTTTGTTTCGTCTGCGTCGGCGATGATGGTGTGCGATGCGATTGCAGGCGGGGAGAGGGAGGGAAGTCGTACTTGTTCTTTCTCTTCTTGACCATTTTGACGGTTGCTGGGGATGTAAATATTCAGGTCCACGCAAGTGAAGAGAAAAGGAAAAAGAAGAAGTAAGAGGCGCTCTCTTGAAATGTGCGTTTAGTCGATTGACGCTGAGGGCCAGTCCACTTTTTCGGGGTTGGTTTGGTGGGCACTGGGCAGCTGGCTAGGGCAAAGCACTCCAGGATCTCGCGAGCGGCAAAAGCCTGCAGACGCTGAGGTCAGTGGGATCCACCGCACCAAAAAAAGTGAAAACCCTGAATCAGGTGACCAGACTCCACTGGATGGACTGGTTGTAATTTCTGAACGGGCGCTGCCCTCCACCAAAAGTCGATCTTCTTCAACCCCCATTCGCACCATCTGAGGATTGCTTAGGAAGGCAATAAGTTCTTTATTGTCGAGGTACGTCTGAAAGATGCTGCAAATACCCGTCTCTGTGAGGGCTTCATTGCCTTTCACTTGAGGATTGCTCTTTTGTTATATCGAATTCGCAATTCTCTGCGCGCACACTCGACGCTTTTTTATCGACTTTGAGCGACGCCGTTCATCTTCGAGAAGAAGGAAACTCGAGATGTCGCACGAGACAACACTCTTTCCGCCAGCAGCCGGATGCTTCACACTTGGGAACCTCGATTCTAACCGTCTCAGTTAGGCAAGATGCAGATTTTCGTCAAGACCCTCACGGGGAAGACGATCACCCTTGAGGTGGAGTCTTCCGACACCATCGACAACGTCAAGTCCAAGATCCAGGACAAGGAGGGCATCCCCCCCGACCAGCAGCGCCTCATCTTCGCCGGCAAGCAGCTCGAGGATGGCCGCACCCTGAGCGACTACAACATCCAGAAGGAGTCCACCCTCCACCTGGTCCTCCGCCTCCGCGGTGGTATGGCCAAGAAGCGCAAGAAGAAGGTCTACACCACCCCCAAGAAGATCAAGCACAAGCGCAAGAAGACCAAGCTGGCTGTCCTCAAGTACTACAAGGTCGACTCCGACGGTAAGATCGAGCGACTTCGACGCGAGTGCCCCGCCGATACTGTAAGCACACCTCTCTCTCCCCTATGATATCAATATCGAGACTGACTGACTCTTTAGTGCGGCGCTGGTGTCTTCATGGCTGCCATGCAGGATCGCCAGTACTGCGGTCGCTGCCACCTTACCTACGTCTTCGACAAGCAATAAATGCATGACCAAGGGACTTGAATTGGGAATTGATGACGGATCGGATTGGGTGCCAAAAATGGGCGTTGACGGGCTTTTGTAGCATAAAGCACATCCGGTTTCTGAGATAATGCATGCTTGATTGAGACGACAAACTTGTTAAATTACACACCCCGTTCTCCCCTGTGACCTTGCCAGGATCTGATCATGTTGTCTGCTCGTCATGGTGATTTGCCACTTAAACCTACATCAAAATTCAGTCTGGTGCGCTTCGCGTATCTTGGCCACGACCTGCTCTACAGAGTACAACACGCCAAACTCATTGCAAAATCGCCAAGACCCCTGTAATCGCTCATTCATATCAGTCCTCATCAGTTTGAATTTCGCAGCCTCGCATGAATTTCCTGGTGTCCACTTGTGAAATTTTCATCTCGCCAGAGCCTCGTTTGCCCTGGTGGGGCGCGTCGTCAACACCAAGCGATCCGACACGGATGACCCGAGAGCACCTCAGAAGGTCTGGGATAGCATACGATAGTTACCATGAACGTCACTCAATCAGCTGCTCTATTCAGTTAGTATACTTATACACCGCTGGGCATGATATCTTCCGACACCACAATAGCATACACGCACAGCTGTCAATGGCCTACATTCACAATCCCAGTCACGATAAACGCAGTCTTCAGTGAATTTGCATGTTTTTGTAAACAAAGGGTATGAGTTTTCCCTCGTAGTGAAAAACAGTCTTTTACAATCAAAGCCAAATGCCCTCAAACGCCCAAAAGCCATAAGCCAGAGATCAAGATCCTACAAAAACTCCTCAAACAGTTGCGCAAGGGCCCTGGAAGCAAAAGTCTCCCGCCACCATCCCATCGCTTTTTCGCCGCCCTGTTCGGGAATGGCGTCTTCTGTTGGGAGCGAGTCGTGAGGGACTCCGCGCGAGGAGGTTCTTGCTGGGGCGGGAGTCGTTGAACCAGAATCCGACTTGCCCTTGCGCAACGTCTATCATGACTGAAGATGCACCTCCCATTATCCGTGTTCCTGGAACGCTGTGTCGAGAAGACAGCATAAACCAGACGCTCTCAAACAATAGGAAGAGCTCTACTCGTCATCCGCAGCCTTGGACTTTCTCTTCTTCTTCTTTTTCTTCTCGCCGTCTTCCTTCACGGGCTCGGCATCCTCCTCATCCCTCTTGCGCTTCTCCTTCTTGTCCTTCTTCTCTTTCTTTTCCTTCTTCTCCTTCTTGTCTTTCTTGGACTTCTTGGACTCGGGCTCAGGAGCGTCAGCCATCTCCTCGTCGGAGCCAGCATTGTCACCATCGTCGAGGAGGTCCATAACACCCTTCTGTAAAATAGTTAGCATTGATCAGTCATTGGGCTTCGACTACACATACCATGACATCGGTGTTCTTGGCGGGCTTCTTGCCAGTGGCGTAGAACTCTAATCGGTCCTCGACTTGCTGCTTGAGAGCCTCACCAAAGCGGGTTGAGGGCTCCTCGGAGAAGTTGTCGATACGGCTGGCCATACTGCACTTATTGGCGAGGTATCGAGAGATGCGACCCTTGTTCTTGGGACCAGCCTTGCCAATGAAGCTGCTGTGGTAGATGAGACCGTACTTGGGGGTGTTGCTCTTGGTCTTGAGAGCACGGAAAAGAGCCTTCTCGGCACCGAGGATCTGGAGAGTAGAGGCAGGGTACTTGGAGAGGTTGGTCAGAGAACCAGCGTGAGAGATGAGGCGGGCGGCAACGGGAGTGCCAATGAGAGTCTGCAGGTTGGGGGCGATGTCGGACATCTTCTTCTCGAGGTAGGCGGACGTGGACTTGCGGTTATCGGCCTGCTTGACGACAGCCTCAGCGAAGCCGTGGACAATCTCGAGATCAGCAGCAGAAATGTCGAGACCCATGGAGACCTTGGCGGCGTCAATGATGGCCTGGGCCTTCTCACCATCCTCACCAACGAGGGCGGCAATGTCGTGGAGTTTGTCATCGTTCAAGCTCTTCTTGTCGCCAATGGCCAGAACAAGCTTGCAGTAGGTGTAGTTGTCGGAGACAATCTTGACCAGCTCAGGGAAGTGCCATCCGTACCATTCGCGAACGCGCATGAAGAACTGGTTGACGCCCTTGTCCTGGAAGTCGATGGTCGCGCTAGCCTGGATGATGTGGTTGTCGTTACGGGTGACGCTGAACTTGACCTTGGCACGGGAGTAGGCGTGTCCCATACCCAGACCGGCCTTCTCGACATCGCCGTACTTGAGTCCGCCGAGAAGCTTGTCGGCGTGGAGTCGGATACCGCGAATAACGTCGCCGACAATGTCAGAGGTATCGGCGGTCTCGCACTCGAGGCCGGGGAAGAGGCCCTTGATCGCGCCAGCAAGGTTCTTCTCGGAAACACCAAGGACGACCTTGGTCTTCTTGCCGCTGGTCTGGGGGAGGTTGAGTTCGAGGACAGACTTGAGGTAGTCGGAGACGATACCCTCAGTGACGAGGTTAATGTTCTCAAGAGCCTCGACGTGACCCCTTTTGCAAGTGTCAGTTATCGCGCATCCATCAGCATCGCACACCCGAAGTTTCAAAATACCTGAAAGGGCTGAAGTTGGCCAGCTTGACCATCTTGCCGAACTTGGCGAGGTCGTTGGTGGCAGCCTGAGTCTCCTTCAATTTCAGGCCCACGGCATCCTGCTGATGCACCACCTTGAAGAGGGCATAGCCCACGGGCGATTCGTATAGAGCGTAGTCGATGTGCGACATCTTGTCGTTCCCTGCCGGTGCCGCAATTGGGAATGATTCCGCGTCGAATGGGTTTGGTGATGGCTCGAGGCTTAAGATTTTCACACTTTTTTTCCAGGTGGAAATTTTCTGGCAGCTTGCGCACGGACCAGTTGAGGCTGGTGTGGCTGGTGAGTGGTCACGTGGATAATCTGGTTGCATCAGTTCGATGAGACTATATGAATGAAGCACGTAAAAGTACTTGTAAACTTATTACTGTGTCTTGATTGTGTATTTTTGAGGCCGTGATTTATTCATACTGTTCGTTTACTTGTGTTATGTTATTTCATTGTAAGTGAGCGTTCAGTCAACACCAACGCTCATCTTACTCCTTGACCCACCAAGACCACTTCGCCTCAATTGTCCGGGAATCCATTTCGCAAGTTATCATACTTGGTTGCAGGATACTCAATGCAATTATCCTGCCTCATAAGCGCACCCTGTCCGCCAAACCCATTCACAACCGTCGTGATCAAGCTCTGATCACCAGTCTTGTCCGCACTGCTCTCCCACCACATGGCTCCGCCGAGCTTCCACTTCTTGACATACTCCGCCTTGTCCCACGCAACTCGCGGCGTGTCGTATGTGACCATGGTTCGTGTCTGGGGGTTGTAGCAGTAGCTTGCGCAGCATCCTCTGTCCCCATACTCTGTAGCGCCCTCGAGAGGAAGTTTCTTGTAGTCGTGGACACCGGCCTCCCAGGTCCCTTCGCCGGTGCCTTGGTAGGGTCGACCTGGACCATCGGTGTTCTGGAAAGCTCGGCCGTAGAGGGGCATGCCGAGAACGATCTTTCCGGGGGACACGCCGCTGCGGACATAGAAGTCAATGGCGGCGGATGTAGAGAAGGGTGTTGATTGGGGGTTGTCCTGGGATGGGTACAGGTTCGCCTGGTGGCCAGCAACAGAGTCCCAAGAACCAGCATAGTCGTAGGCCATCAGGTTCCAGAAATCAAGATATCGATCCATGCCGCGGATGTCAAGCTTCTGGAAGTTTGTCGCGCCAGCGGGACAAGCAACGGTCAACTCGAAATGATAAGGCTGGCTCAAAGTCTGGGCATAGGCATCCATCTCACGTCGAACGGCAGCAAGCAGCTCAACATAATCTCTGGCCTCATCTGCATTCTGAGGATACTCCCAATCAATATCGATGCCGTCAAATCCGAGATTCTTGAGAAGGTCAACGCAGCTCTTGGCGAAAGTATCGCGTCCTTGGGGTGTGCTGGCAGGAGCCTTGAAGTTGCTGCTGTAGGTCCATCCTCCAACACTGAGAAGAACCTTGAGATTGCGGTTACGACGCTTAAGAAGGTTGAGCTGCTTCATGCAGCCGTATAAATTGGTGCCTTGGTCATTCCAGGAGTCACCGTCCCAGTGAATGTCGGTATCGGCCCATGAGTCGGTGAGATGGCTGATCATGTTAGCGGGCTGCATTGAGATGAGAATTGGGGATGACTTACACTTCGCCAGAGTCGCTGCGAACATTGGCGAATGAGTAGAGAACGTGTGTGAGGTTCTCAACTGGGAGATCTTGGGGACGATGCTGTCGGGCATAAATGGCCCTGTTCTCATTAGCTGAGTTCAGTGTCTCGATACAGGGTAGTTTCATACCAATTGACAAAATAAGCGACGGTGCGGAAACCTTCAGGACCACCACCCATTTTGACTGAAGTAAAAGACGTAAAAGTATTTGATAAAAATACTGCGATCAATGCAGTGAGAACGGAGGCTATAAGAAGGACACTTGACCAGGTACAATGCCCAGCTCGTTGTCTTTGTGGAATATCCGTGATGATGGAGGGGCACTTGGAGGGGCTGAGTGTGGGGAATCACTTCAGCTTCAAAGGATAAGTGAATAACGAAGTGAATTGATGATGTTCTGAGGATGTAGCAAACAAATAATCAGATATAAGAAACGTGGAGGCATCCAAGCCTCTTACTCAGCAATTCACTGACCAGTTTCAGCTCTTCATGTCCAACTTCCAATCCATGTTTTTGCGTCGTCATCTGCGGCTTGACTTGCTCTGGGGTCTGAGTGGCCAAGAGTGGCGGTGCTCCATCGTGGCAGTGCGGCTGTGTACCTGGCTGGATGGGTAAGAAAAACCGAGAAATTCAACGCCTAGTGACTAAAAAGATTAGACATTCATAGAGTGATGATAGCGGATCTTTGACGAGTTATTTTTGACTTGTTCGTTGAAGATCCCAAGTCTTTTTTGGCGCTTGAGGCCTGTGCAGCTGGGGGTAAATATGAGCTAGACAACGCATCAGAAGACGGGACTGAACGGCATTGGCAGCTTGGCGGATTAGTCTTAGAATAGCTCAACTATGTATTTCAATATTGCTGACTTCTAATTTTCAAAGAAAGACGTGAATTGTGATGCTGAATCTTTGTACCTCTATGTGAGCTCGTAACGTCATTGAGAATCTGTGCCAGGGTATCAAAACACAAACAAGAAATCCTCATTCTCCAAATCCGTGATATCACCAAACCCTTTATCTTCATCCTTCCGATCCGCCCTATCCCCTTCCAAATCTCCCACGTCGGCAACCCTACCATCCTCATTGTCTTCTGCTTCACGCAGTACCCCCCTACGCAATGATCTTTCCATGTGTTCTATCCTCTCCGCCTCTTCCGCGGTTTCAAGACTCCGGTCTACCAGCACGGCACTCTTTCCAAGCGCGACTCTGCGTTGGCTGTGGAGGCGGTTCAATCGGGTGAGGTGCAGTGAAGTTATCACTACGAGAGCGATGACGGCTATGTAGAGTGCGAGATTGGAGCGGAGACCGCGGGTGTAGGCTGGTGCTTCGTCGGGAGAGTAGAGAAGAGGACCGACGATGTTGCCGGCTGAGGCGCTGATGAAGATGAGTGCTGATGTGGACTTGCGCTTTGTGTCGCCCGCCGTGTTTTGTGCTGACCATGAGTAAATTAAGGGTGCTGCAATGGTTAGATGGTTCGAGACAGGAGATGAGAGAATACTCACTGATACCAGTGTATGTGCACAGGCAGAAATAGCCAGCCAGCAAAACCCCTTTATTCCCAAGATTATGCTCAAAGTGTAACATGATGGCACACCCAACGATGGGAGGTATACACAGCATGACAATAACAGGGCCCTTGAGCTTCCACTTCATGGCGATATAAGCACTCGCCGACACAGCGATGATGTGTGAAACTCCAACAGGAACATTGAACAACATTGTCTCAAAGGGATCCGACACGAATGACTTGATGATCAGAGGCCCAAATGTTGAGATACCGTTTGAAGGCACTGAGATGCAGAAGATCATGGCAACCCAACACCATGTCTTGAGGTCCTTCAGTGTCTCAACAACATGAGACATTCTCCATTCCCGAGACATGACGCCCATTTGGTTGTTGCGAAGACGCTCGATTGCAATGATCTTGTCTTCGTCGGTGAGGAACTTGGCTTCGGTGGGTGAGTCGGGCATCCAGAAGAACATGACGAAGGAGACTCCCACTGTGATTGCGCCGAAGAAGAGGAAGATTATCTACTGGTGTTAGTACAGCGACTTGCAGAAGAGACAGTGAGATGTACCTGATACGGCTTCATCTTGGAATCGATGCGCGCGAGTCCATAAGTGATAAGACTTCCAAGCTGTAGATAATTAGCCCAGACCATTAACAAAGAGGGAAATACTCACCACCCACGTCAACCCATTCATACAGTACCACGATCCAATCCGCAAAGTCTGCTCTCTTCATACCATCAGTACCATCTCACCACACCACAACCCATCAAACATACCTTCTCCTCCACCACATCTGCGTGATTGCAATGAAGCTCGGCCCAATACTAGCTTCAAACGCACCCAGGAAGAACCTCGCAACCATCAAAGTCTTGAAATTGCTCGCCCAAGTCATTAGAACAAGCGTGACTCCCCACGCCAGAACCATGGCGCTTGTGAGTTTTCCAATGGGTAACTTGACCAATGCGAGGGCGAGAGGCGGTTGCATTATTAATTGCGCGAGATACACAATACTACCTAGCCATGAGTACTGATCACCTTCGAGGTTGGTGTCTTCGATAAGCCCGAATATTGAGGCATATGATAACGTTGCTTTGTCCAAGGCTTGGAGGAAGTATACCGAGAGCATGAGGGGGAGCAACGCAATGTCAATACGCCGTAAAATGCGTGCATCGTCAGCTGGCGAAATGGTAATCTGCTCATCCGGCGAACGGCCCATTTTGATGAGCAGCATGGCCGCTGCATCGCGATAGCTCTCAGCTCTGGCCTCTTGTCCCTCCATGGTGTTGGTGTTGTTTTCCGGTTCATCGTTGTTTGGGAGGGGTTGGTACTCTCCGCGGGATGACATGGCGGCGGCATACGCCCGGTTGAAAAACCTTGACAACATGGTTGCTCCAACCCCGATGGGCGAGTCTTTTTTCTTGTTGACAAAAGTTTGTTCTGTTTGTTTGGCTTTCTTATCGCTGGGTATCGTGTAAGATGGTTTGGTGGAACGAGGGGTGACGTCGCTGTGGCTGTGGCTTGGGGAGTGTGGCCCCTGCAGGGTCTGCAGGTTATGGCGTGCTGGACCCTGCTGGGGGGAAGGGGGGAAGAAAATACCGGACCTTGATCCTAATTGACAAAAAGACTTATGTAAGCCTACCTAAATTTAGCATATCTTTTGCTGAGTTTAATTTGACATTCTATACTAAGGTCTGATGTTTTCTTGCTCCCCCAGGCCTTGTAATTTGGACTAACTACTAAAGGCATGGAGATCTAACGTGTGTTGAATAGCAGGAACCATTGGTCAAATAAACGCGCTTGCAAGCACCTAAGTAAGCTCTGGTAGAGCTTCTGTTCCCTGGCCCTTACGACCTTGCCTCCCTCGCTTGGTGAACAGACTGAATGTGGCATATGTCCAACGTATGACACGCTGTAAAAGCCTGCATCAGTGCAATTATATGCACGTACATGGCGCATAGAATCGAGATGTGAAAGATCTGATGTGAGCTGAACCAGATGTCGAAATGGCCTGGCGCAAAACGCTCAGGGACTCGGAACTGCAAGCTAGGTCAGAGACGGCTCTTCAGGGGAAGGGAAAACAAGATCTTCGTACTGCATAGAGGCCACAGCCTCCCCCGTACAGAAGGAGTTCGACAAGGTACCATCTCATGCCCGAATACTCGAGCATATAGTCTAACCCATAGACTTGTACGCCATGCAACAAAGGGATAAAAGCCGACGCGCTGAGTGCAACGTAGGCGCCGACCCTGACCTTCCGCCATCTCAGTGTCCTGAACTTGGGGACGGAGATGAGAACTGCCGTGGCAGATCCGCAAAGAACCACCTAACGACCTGGTTAGCATGCTTCGAAGACTTCTTATAGCCAAGAGCGTATCTTAAGTGGCCCGGGTAACAAACAATAGTCCAGTGAATCTTCTGCAGAAACGGCTCGCAGTTGAAGATGTAGTAAATTCCAGGGATGAAGGTTCCAACGGTGACGATGACGATCCCTAGTAAGTCCATCCGGTGCCAAATTTGTTCCACCTCGCGTGAGTGACTTCCGATGAGATGATACACGGCGCTAAAGATCAGACAGCTCTCGGCGGAACAGAAGAAGACACTGAACATGATGAAGTCGGTTCTTGTGACGTTAATGTACTGTGGCCCAGAGATGGCTCGGAGAATGGAGGCCGCAAAGAGTGGCAGCAGCACAGCGCCGATCAAGTGGGTATACACGTTGCAAGTCTCATTGTGCAAGAAAGTGAGACTTTTGATGACTTGTAAATAGTCTGCTTCCAAAGGGCGATAACCGGTGAGGATATACTTGTTGTCTCGCCGCCACTCGGGAATATCATGCAGCATGACGGTGCGTGTTGTAGGTGATGGGTTGGTCATGGCCTGCTTTTCGCCGTTTGAGTTCTCAGGCCGTGCGTGGCGTTGCTTAATAGTATCGGGACCAGGCATAATCACTGCTCGCAGTTGTGCCGGGTTACTTTGGATCGTTTTCTGACCGGAGGAGTGATTCGGTGATGATATCGATGGTGCAGGAGAAGAGGAGGAGCATGGGCCAAGGGGAGTAGATGCAGAATGCAGCTACTCACAGCTTGATCTTGTTGCAAGCGCCTCAGCACCTCACGGCACTGCACGGAAACTTTTGGCGTCTAAAATGCCAAACTTGAGCATGTTGCTACGTTTGGTGTAGATGCTGATCGTACTGTAACTTTCGAGGGAAAGGGGAGGTTGGAGGCTTCTTTAGGATGATCTCTCTCTGTTATGTCCCCATCAAGGGGGTACCCTTCTTAGACCCAGTTCCCAAGTCGATCAAAGATATTCTCCGTAAAGTCATCGCCAAATTAATACCTAAGGTTCAAACTGCTACTATTTGTCGATTTATTACCTAGTCATGGTGTGAGAAGGCGTCTGAAAGAAGAATACGAGTCTTGACATCCCAGAAAACGTCTACGTCTCGTGCTGGTTTGGAACTGCGCATTGACGGATCAAGTCTCCAACGTAGCTTATAGATATTATGTTCCTTATACGTGCGGTAGTTGGTTCAATCACGTGTTCAGAATTACATTTACACGACTTTATTCAAGTATCGCCATGAGGCATTTCTGGTGCTCCATGCACCGAACTCTTTTGCCTTCAAGGAGGGTCAATCAAGCTGCGACACACCCAAAAGTATTCCTACATAGTTGTGGTCGTTCTTCAGGGAGGCAGTCTAGGAGGCAGGAGATCTTAGGACCTTGACCCTCAACTTTGAATATATTTTTAGGTAAATCTAGCCTAAGCTTAGACGAGTCTTTACCAAGTTTATTTTGACGTTATCTTTTCAAGTCTTAGGTTTTCTTGCTCCTCAATGAGTTTGAATCTAGACCCCTTTCTGTTTGGAATGAAGTATGGCGCTATCGAGTCCCTTTTCTGGGGTCTCCCTTTCTATCGTTGCTTTTGGCGTTCTGAGACATGCGAATATCTCGCATGGTGTCCAATACGACAAACCACACCAATTAAATAGTTCATGTCTCTAAATACCATTGATCGACAGGAAGGATGTTGATTAGTTGACTGTGAGACATGGTTTCACATCAGCCTTGCAAAGGGTTGTGTTCATCAAACCAATCCCTTGATACTTGGCTCTTGCCTCCCTTGCTTCGACTCCCTATCTCCTGTCCACGACAAAAAAAATGTCGTGATCTCAATTTTTCTTCCTTTAGCAATCGCAAGGCAGTTCTCTACAGTCCAATTCTTGCGTTATCGCAGAGTTGGGAATACAAGATGGGTGTAGCGTCAACACTCATGTCGCGATTCTGTAGGATCTTACCACCACTTACTATCATCACGATATGCTTCTACTTCCTCATCAAGCTCTCCCTCGTTTCCAACGCAGCTGTACCGGATCCCGAGAGATGGAAGAATCACGCCTTGGACTTTGTTGAAGAAGACGAAGAAGGCTACACTCCGACATTCGAGACGACTGTTGTTCCAACACCTCGTCAGACCTCAGCAGCGCATATCGAAGATCTTGAGAATAAGGGCGAGATTGGAGACTTTGCTGACGACGATGAGTTCCTCCCTTTTGTTAACATTGAAGATGATGGGGATTGGGATGAGGAGGATCTGCAAGAGATGAGTGGCGGGAAGTTTGAGAATGAGATCGTTGATGATGGAGGCGACTGGTCTAGGTTCGCTTACATCCAGTACGTAACGAACGAGGATTACCTTTGTAACTCGGTCATGATCTTTGAAGCGCTGCATCGGTTGGGGAGCAAAGCAGATAGGCTATTGATGTATCCGCAGGAGATGCTTGACCCAGAGGCCCAGCACGCAAGCTCACATGGTGGAAAGCTTCTCATCAGAGCAAGAGATGAGTACAATGTCACTCTTCAACCCATTGAGATCCAACACCGCGATGGACAAGACGGTACGTTCATCACAAGGTCCAAATTCACGTTGTCCTCTGACTCTTCTCAGAAACCTGGGCCGATTCTTTCACCAAACTCCTCGCCTTCAACCAGACCCAATACGAACGCGTCCTCTCCCTTGACTCAGACAGCACAGTCCTCCAACACATGGACGAACTCTTCGAACTCCCCCCTTGTCCCGTCGCAATGCCCCGCGCATACTGGCTCTACAACGACAACCCACCCAAGAAGATCCTCTCCTCCCAGCTCATGCTAATCCAACCCGACGAGGTTGAATTTGAGCGTATTGTCCAAAAGATGAATAGCATCGGGCCAAACGACTACGACATGGAGATCGTTAACAGTTTATACCTCGACAGCGCTCTTATTCTGCCTCACAGGAAGTACGATATGCTCACCGCGGAGTTTAGAGCCAAAGACCATTCAGCATATCTTGGTAGTGAGAGGGAACACTGGGATCCTAACGCTGTACTGAACGAGGCCAAGTTTGTGCACTTTTCGGATTGGCCTGTGCCGAAGCCGTGGATTAATGATCCTGAGGTGAGATTGCAGAATCAGCCGGATTGTGCTACGAATGAGACGACTTGTGCAGAGAGGGAGATCTGGAATGGATTTTATACGGATTTCAGGGATAACAGAGAGGTAAGTTTGATGCTTGTGGATTTCGTGACTGAATTTGCTGACAAGATGTAGAGAGTTTGTGAGTCGCTTGGTACACAGAAATGGATACACTGGAAGAGAATGGCGAAGAGGACAATGTGATGGTTCATGTACATGCCAAGATCATGAGATGATTAGTGTTTGAAGTGACAAGCGTAATAAAACGAGTATTATGAGTGACATTGACAGTTTGCAGTTGATGTTTATGAGTAGCACTGGCCATGGTAGCATCGTGCGCAAACATACGAGTGGGAGAGCCAAGTAGAAGCACACTTTTCACCAATAAGGGCAAACATAATCACATAACTGAATCTCGCCACAGGAACAACACTCTTTTTATGATAGGTGAGTTCACTATGCTTGGTACTGATAACAGAAACGGACAGTTTGCCAGCGCTCTTCAGGCAGCTGGTGAACTATGGGCTTGGCTTTCTGAACTGATGGTGACAGGGAGGCCTTGGGCGATGGGAATTTCTACAGGCTTGATGGCCAAAGTCAGCATGCAGAACAGCCTTCCGGGTCCGGTCTTGGACTCCTCCTCATAGAGAAGCTGAAAGCGTAAGGCTAGAATCATCTAGTCGATGACGCTGTTGGCGAACTTATTGATAGATCATCGTGGGCCAGAGAGCGTTGGTGTTGTAGGAACACCCGAAAAGCCACCTACCAAAAGGGGGCCAGAGCAGTCTGAGATAGACGATGCATAAAATAAGACTCGTGGAAGAAAGACTAAAAGTGAAATATTTGCGTGATTGCAGACATCGCCGCTATATTTGCAATCTGCGAACTACTGTGTTTGTAATAACAATTGCCTAGAGGGTATTGGATAGGCCTGTTGTATCCTCTATTTGCTATTTGCTATGTTTGTTAGTTATGTTTACATGTTTCTTTAGATTCAGCTCGCCTATAGAGCAAACACTAAGAACCTTCTAGATGTCTAGCTTGGCTACATAAGCCCCAGCGTCTTCCAATCTAGATACATAGATCAAGTTGCTTCTTACATCTCAACAGGTTATCAGCCTGGAGTTTTATATATAATATTTACTTCAGTTATATACTATGGAGAGACCTTACTATAGAAAGGGGTTCCCTGGGCTTTTGGCTTGGCCTAACAGAGGGGATATATGGCATTTATCGACTCTGACCAGATATTCTCTCAAGGGGCTCGATATATCTTCATCAGCTCTTTAAGCCAGCTTTGTCCAGTCGCTCATAATGAAGTGTGCACATCACTTCAGATGGATCGAGTGAGTCTTGGCCATACTTTTTCGCTCTTAATCGTATATATCAATCTTTCTTCCCTCCTGACTCTCAAACCCTAGCATTATATATATATTCCGCCTAGGGGCATCCTGTTGTCCCATCTCTACACTACCTTGTTCTCAACTGTAAAGTTCGAGCCTCATTATTCTCAGATGAGTATGTCTCATAACCTGAAAGCTCATGGCAAAAGATTGGCGGTCAGTTTCTATTTACCTGTCTCGGTGCTTGTCACTGCCTGACACTGATTGCTACCAGAAGTCCATCCATCATGGATCAGTGGGGTATGAAGGTGGATAATGGAGACAGCAACCTACAACAAACAAAACCCAAGGTACCTAGTCAAAACAATCTTAAGTCTCAGGACTCTCCCATATTCTTCCTCCAAGAACATCCTCCTGTAAACCCATCTTTACCCATCTTCGTTCTATCTCATCCGCATCAACTCACAAATTCGACTCTAGAGACCGCGTCGGTTCACAAGCCACTCGAAAGAAGCATGGATCTCTTGGAACGGAACAAAACAACGGCTAATGAGGCTATAAAACTTGAGGACGCCGAGAACCATCCTCTGCGCAAAGATAAGCAGCATTCGGAACGGTATTTCAAACTCCTCGAAGCCCGACGCCAGCTTCCAGTCTCTTCCAAGAGACAGGAATTTCTTGACGTTTACCACAGCGCCAAGGTAATTTGATTCTTCTTTTTTCTGTTGACGGTACCTGGCGTTTCTTGCATACCAACGTTCTGTAAGGTTATTGTCCTTTCCAGCGAGCCTGGCTCGGGGAAAACTACACAAATTCCACAGTTCGTCTTTTGGGATGAGTACGCCAGCAAGAAGGGCATCATCTGCACGCTGCCAAAACGGCTCGCTGCATCATCTGCAGCTCAGCGAGTTGCGGATGAGATGGACGTGAAGCTGGGCGAAGAGGTCGGATATTCCGTCCGTCTCGACAACCGCACCTCGAAGCAAACTCGTCTCGCTTACGCCACAGATGGGATACTTCTCCACGAGGCAAAATCAGATCCCATGGTCTCAAACTACGTTAGTCACTGACCTTTTGTCTTGGTTCCCACACTAATCCATGTTCACTAGGCTTGTGTCATCCTCGACGAAGCACACGAGCGTACCCTCAACACAGACATCTTGTTGGCGCTCTTGAAGAAGGCTCTACTTGTCCGTGATGACCTCAAGGTCATCATCATGCTTCCACTCTCGAGACTGACAAGTTTGTGAAATACTTTGCAGACGCCAAGCGATTTACCGTGAGTGGGCGCAGCTTTCCAGTCGAGATCGGATACCTCGAAAATGCATCTAAGGACTATCTCTCCATTGCCCTTCACACTGCCAAATGGATCCACGAGTCAGAGAAAGAAGGTGACATTCTGGTTTTTCTCTCGACAGCATATGACTGCGAGGAGGGCTGCGCAAAGCTGCGCAAAGCTACGTCCGATCTAGATGTACTGCCCCTGTATTCTGTCTTGACTCAGCACGAACAAGACAGAGTGCTCAAGAGATCAGACAAGAGAAGATGAATACTTGCAACAAACATCGCCGAGGCGAGCATCCTCATTGAGGGTGTTGTTTACGTGTTTGGTAAGTCATCCTCCACCCCCGTTCATCTGTTACCTTGAGTAGGCAAGGCCGGATCTCTACTCGCTCCGGGTCACTAACAACACTGATAGATACTGGCCTGGCAATTCAGCCCGGATTCAATCCTCGAGTGGGATGTGATACCCTGAGAAACAGAACTATATCCAAAGCATCAGCGCAGCAGCGTGCTGGGCGCGCTGGTCGCTCCAGCCCAGGGACCTGTTATCGCATGTACACGAAGAAGGACTTCGACGAGATCTTTCTCCCTTCAACATCACCCGCTATCCTTCAAAGTGACCTGTCAGAAATGGTGCTGCTGCTCAAAGCTCTAGGCTTTCACGATGTCGCAAACTTCGACTTTGTTGTCCCTCCCCATCCGGAACCCGCCTTCCGTGCGTTTGAGGATCTCTTTTGGATGTAAGTACCAACGCCTGACTTGTGACACCAAAGCACTGCTGAGACAGATGTCAGGGGCTACCTGGCTGAAGGTGGCTCAATCACGATCAAAGGCAAGATGGCCGCAAAGCTGACAATCCACCCGGCTTGGTATAACGCATTCGCCGAGTCGGTGAGCCTGGGATGTAGCGATGAGATGATCACAATCGCTGCACTAGAGAACACCCAGCAGTCCATGTTTCTTCGCCCACAGCCGTTTCGTTATACGGCGGACCTGGCTCACCAACGCTTCTCTTGTCCAGTGTCGGACCAGATGAGCCTCATGAATGCATTTCATTCTTACGTCAGAACCAAAAATCAGTTCCAGGCTCTTATGAGCAAGGCCGCCGCTGATAAGGCTGTGAACGAATGGTGTGCGCACGCATTCCTCAACCGAAGTGTTCTGGAGGAGGCGGTCAGACTACGAAAGCAACTGAAACAATCCTTCACGAGCCTTTTCGATCAGGAACCTACCGTTTCGGACTTCACAAGTCCCGACTACGATGTCAACATCCGCAAAGCACTGGCTCGCGCGTTCTTCTACCGTTCCGCCATTCGTGACCCGGGTGGCACAGACTGGACTGTCCATGGCAACTGGCCAGCTGGCCTCCATCCTGATAGCAGCCTCGTCGGAATTAACCATGAATGGGTAGTCTATGGTGGGTTGTCTTACAGCGCCTATCAATACCTGTCTTCAGTCACAGCTGTTGATCCGGAATGGTTGATCGTAAGTCATACACCACGCCAACACTTTCAGAATGCAAGGCATTAACAAGAAATTCTAGGATCTCGACTTTTTCCAAGACGCTAATATGGCGAAGAAAGGAGACGGGAGGCTGAAGAAGCCACAAGTCTTTTACTCGCTCGCCAGTGCCCGTGAAGCCCGCGAAGCTCGTGAAGCTCAAAAGGACAACACTCCTGCTTAAGGCTTTGTTTCCTCAATTGTACAGTCGTTCTTGCGGATGTCGTATCGACACCAGATATTCGCTCGTGCTCCCTTACGCTCCTTTCACACAACTTATCTGGTCTACCCTTTGGTCAAGGCCATCTTATCTTCAACTCACCCATGCTACCGGCACGTGGATATACTCCAGGATGATCTGCCGACAGATGTCTATGTGAGCATCCTCATCCATGGACACGGTCATTTGGATGGAAACTACTGAGCATTGATGAGTGTATTTTCGGCACTCGGATGAAAATGGGTGGGTAGAGGCAATGAATTTGAGCAGAAACGGAAAATGAGGTTAGAGGTGAAAGTGAAGGTTGGGAGAAGGGGTTTGAGAAGGGGACAAAAGCAAAGGTCCCTTGCTCTGAACTGGTCTCGGAGGCGATTTGATCATACTCGTAGGTGTGCTAGCTTCGACTAGACTATAAAAAGTGCGAGAAGTGAAACTGGATTCAATAATTTCGTTGAAGTGAAAGGAATGACCTTTACTATTGCTACGTCGTCCCTGCAGCCCAGCATCAACTTATCTGTCACCTGTTCTCCATCGTCACCCCTTTACATCCCCTTCTTCACCCTCTCAACCTCCTGAACCTTCGCGAAAGCCCTCTTCGTCAAAAGAACACTATGCACCACACAAACCGTCGGGATAACAATCCAGATCGCATTGCAGAAAACATAATACATGTAAAAGTAAAACTGCTCCGGCCGACAGTATACAATGCGATTGACAATCTCGTTGAAGTAGCAAGTACCAAAGTACAGCACATCACCGTAGAGTTGGCCGACGCTGATGATCAGCTGGATCGGGTGTCGCAGAGGATGTTGCTTGACGATACTCCACGCGCAAAAGAACGACATGGGACCCCAGAGGAAGGCGGTTATGGCTTCCATGGGGACGAGGAAGGAATCTTGGGTGAGGTAGCGTGAGTCTGAGAGGGAGTATTCTTTCCAGAGCTGGGCGAAGAGAAATTGTCTGTTTGAGATGTCGACAAAGTTGACGACGTAGTAACCTGATCCGTTAGCACCGCTGTCAGCCCGGTATTAGACGGGGATATATACCCTCGAAGAACAAATGGATGCAGCCGCAGAGGGCGAACCAGAGTGTCATGAACATTTCCGTCTTTGATAGCTTTCGACGAGATTGTTGGATCAGTGATAGAGTTACTCCAAGAATGGCACTTGCGCCGACGACGAAGGATGCTACGAGAGCGCGGGAGGATAGAGTGTTGGCGGCATATTGAGGAAGCGCTGCGTTCAAAGGCCAGAATGGATGAAGGGGAATTTTGGCTGTTGCGTTGACGCTTTCGACGAGAGTGTCCATTGTGTCTGTATCTGCTGTGCAAGAGTTGAAGTGAAGTTGAGTTGAGTTGAGTTTGTTGTTGTTGTTTGTAAGACGGAGCTGAGAACGCCTCTTTTAAATACTCCAATCATCTTGTAGGTACCTAAACAAGCCATTCACCACAGCCTACCTCCCTCCTTCCCCTCCACCCAAACATCTTACACCGTTTACAGTGAGTGGAGGCTTGGCAACATCGGAAACTCGAGATCCGCCATCGAACCATTTCCATCCCCACGACAGAAGGATTACCTACAAACTCTCCTATTGGCCAATCTCGAATATTATCGGGAAAAATAAATGGGAAGCGGGAATCTCGGGGTCCGTTTGGTGATCTTACATTCTTACATTCTTGCATCTTCAGATGCGAATACGAACGCGTCACTCGAATACGAAAAATGTCGATACGCTTACTCAGTACTGGCTCTACCCAAACACCACAGTCTCAGACTTCACTTCTCCAAAAATCCCAACATCATCGCCTGAACTCATTATAAGCGACAACTCAACCCTCTTCTCAACCGCGTCAACCATAACCAGCGTCTCTCTCATTCTCATCCTCTCCGGAACCCTCTCTATACCCGCCCAACTCGTCCTCGCAGGAATGTCATCCGTCTCCGCCCACTTCTCCCAGGGAACATCCTCCATCGCCTCCAATGGCGAAGCCAAATCGATAGCAAAGTACTTCTGCCCTTCAATCTCCATTATCCGTTGACTTACTGCTGCTGCACCGTCGCTGTGCCACATTCCTTCTTGGCGCTTGATCTTGTAGAGAAAACTGATCGCGCGACGACGCAGCCAGGGATGCCGGCAGCGCTGGGCGACCATGAAGGCGGGGACTATGAAGCCCGATTCTAGGGAGAGGGGGGATTGGACTTGGGAGGGTGGTGTGTTGGACCAGAGTGTTTCGGCGAGGGTGAGGATGCGTTCGTAGTGGCCTAGGTATCTGTCCCATCGTGTTTCTGGGCCGAAGACGCCTCCTGATAGGAATATTCGTAGCATTGTGTGGTACAGTCTGATGGACACGGCGCCTGTTTCATCGTGGGGATTCGGATGCTTCTTCTCGAACTGGGCCATCTTGTGCTCCCACGAGGCAAGGTCCTCCATTGTAAGATGGAGCATCACAAGGTCTTTCGCAGCCCCCTCTTCATCTCCTGGATCTGTGGTCTCAGACAACATCATAAGTCTTCTCATCATCCCAAACAACGCAGTACCAGCTTGTCCATAGCTCTTTATCTCGGCGGTCTTCATGTACTCATCAATCCACACAGTCCTTGGGGCCAGCTTATAAGGATACGGCGCTGATGAATCAGAGAATGTCATGGCCATCAAATCTAACCTCGTCAATATCTCTGCAGCGCCTGACGTCTCCGGTCCATGTCCTGCTTGACTTAGTAGTCGATGGCCAGCCATGATGTGAACTTGACTTTCGGACCATCGACCCATCATGTTTGTTATTGATACAAGCGCAAGACTCAATGCAAGCAGTTGTGTGGGATCCTTCACATCTCTCGCGCACGTTATCGCGCGTCCATAGTTCTCATTTGCCTGCGACCACAATTTCTCACCGCTGTGATACCCACGACCTTGCCAGAACAGCTCATGCCGTTGATGCAGCGCCCCCAGAGCAAGTGTCGCATGCCATACTGCTGGTTCAGAATGCGCCAGCTGGAGTAATTCCCTCGTCCAGAACTGCGACGGTATAAAGGATGCAGTCGACGGAGCAGTTAATGTTCGAAACACATCGAACAGTGTAAGATTTGTTGGTGACACTGAACGACTTCTATCCCGTGGGTACTGAGACAAAGCTTGTGAGATTGGTCCAATCACTGACATCTGACGCGCTGCCTCTGCAAGTTGACGTCGTGTAACCGTTGAATCCTCAGGGAGATACCCATCGCATTGTCGTTTGGAAGTTAAACATCTTTGACACGACGGTTTCGCCAAGTCGCATTTCACACGACGAATGCTGGCGCCATTAGTGAAGCCTTCCAACTACCGCAGAATACCAAGACTTACCGACATGTAATACACCCATTCCCGGCTTTTCTTGGCATTGTTTTAGTAAGAGGCTCAAATTATTGAAGAAATTGAGAATACACGCTGGGCTGACGCATTTGTATATATTTGATCGTCAGCACAGCCACGCATCGCCGTGAAGTGGGCTAACTTATGAGCCAGGATCTGACATTGAGTCACTTTTATGCGTCGTCACATTTAAGGCTATGCTGTGGCTTTTTAAGCATAAGTGCATTGTGAAGGTTTTAAAACAACGCTTCGGACTTTAAACACTCGCCCCAAGGGCCCGAAATAGATTTATTAGAGAGCATGCTTCAATTGATCCCAGATAGCTCAATTAACCTGATCACTAACGATTAAAATCCCAAATGTTCTCCCGTTTCCTCGAAGTGGCGGTGATCTGCGGCCCAAATTGGCTCAGCCCTACCCGCCCTTAGCAGGGATCAAAGATGAAGATGCGTACCGTGCCAACTCACGAAATCCATAACGCCTCATTCATCTAAACTGCTGCCCTAACTTAAATAGAGATCTTTATTTTCTGCTGCATTGATTAGAGTTACAGAACAGTAAGGTTAGTCAGAAACAAATTATCGGAAAGGCATTTTAAACCTTACAAGTGTTTGTCGTATGTTTCGTCGCATAGGTATATATACCCAGTCGCGCGATCTGGCGGAGCCAGGCGAACTATGCCGCCGATCGGTCAGCCTATCGCTCGGGCCCCTTTAGAGTGAGCAAGGCACCTGCGCAGATTGTAGGCTTGAGGCTGACTCGAAATCAGTGGTCACACACTACTGCTTTTGATTGGCTTCTCCATCGCACCTTGGTGTTGATGGCATCGCCTCTAGGCAGCCTACGCATACCCTGGGTTGACTTAGTCTAGCATAATGTGGCGGGCATGCAGTACCGAGGACCGAGCGAGTCTCATAAGTATTCCAGTAGATTTTCAGCCTCAGCAAGCGACAATTCATAAATACAGCTCCTACGCACTAAGAAAGCAAAGGATCATCCAGCCTCGTTACCATGCTGGACCGAACACTTATCCGTACTGCTCTTTCTGGCCCAGCCAAGCAGGCGATAGCCGCTGCTTTGTGGGATACCCCTGTGTCAGAAGTTGAGCCCGACCTCAAGTTTTATTTCAGGTACTACATCCAACAGTGCGAACTGATTGCGCTTCACGAAGGCGGGAGCCATACGCCTCTGGCAACCCATGCAGACATCATTGCGATCGTTCAGCTATTAAGAAGTTCTCGTACACGCGAAGAAATACACCAGCAGCTGTTAAAATCCTGCAAGCTTCCTGATAGCGATGCTTGCTGTAGCCACTCCATTGATCTTGCAGCTCGCATTCTGCTCATGATCGAATTCGGCAACCTTCCTTTTGCCTACTCAGGATCTAGACAGATAGAGTGGGCTAAAGGCAGTCTGAAGAAGTGGGTTACAGATCGGTTCGAAAGCAAGCCAATCCTTGGGAATAGTAAAGTAAAGCTCGAGAAGATATTCAACGCCAACAATCTAGGCAAGATTGCCGGCATAGAAGTCATCTGGACCAACAACATTGCTGACCACCTCCGCCTGATGAAAGACGACCAGGCAGTGGCAGTGTTTCATCATGCTTCCTTTCTGAAGCGCCAACAAAGGTGAGTTACAGCCGCCCTAGAGAGAGATCCATGATGTTGACGAAACTTACAGCGACACAACGCTCTTTTCACAAGAGTTCATTGAAGAGACCCTGAACACGATGGCCCTGTTGTTTCCAAAGTGGGATAGGGACACTACAGCTTGGTACCAAGCACAAGCGTCTTTGCGTGGCCTCGATACTCGGCTGATCGAGATCGGCCAGCTGGATGCAGATGAACGGCAAATTGAGAAGTTTACTTACTGGCACGATCGTTTGGTTATCTTGAAACAAGTGTTTGATGAATCTCGGCCACGTACCCTTCGGCAATGGTGGCATGATCGAAGGAATGGGGTTCAGTGGTATACCTTTTGGGTCGCGATTCTCGTTTTTCTTCTGACAGTATTCTTCGGCCTGGTGCAGTCTATCGAGGGGGCCATGCAAGTTTACAAAGCTTTCAACCCATAAGTTGTATGGAAACAGTTTATGCTTATTTTAGGAATAGTTAATGTACATAGGTAGGTCGGTTACAAGTATCTATTATTATTATTTGCCTATATGCCCTATAGATGTGATCCGAAGAAGTAAAACCCTCCGATAACTCGGGCGCCATATTATCGACACAATAAACAAAAGTTGCTACATTCTCATACCTATATCAACGGCTTATTGCCATCATTCTGGGCTTTGGGTTGAGGCCTCCGAATGCTTGCTGCACCGCCACTGCACATTGAGAGGTGCAGCAAGCCTATAGGATCAAATCACTCGCATTACCCTTGAAAAGGGCGTTTTCGCTCTTGGCCCTGCAGCAGCTCAACACTACACACCACAGCAATATCGATGATATGCGGGGTAAGGTCAGCTGGCGTTCATAAACTCAGACGTATGCTCTTTTCCTGCTAAAGGATTGTCTGGCCCTGGCGCCTTGGAATCCAGTGTCCGCCCTCTCCATTTCCTCACCACTTTCTGCTGCAGATGATGCAAGATGCCACTCCCTAATATCCTGAGGCTAAAAGAAGGCAAATGGGACAATCCTGAAGACTCTATAGGCACTTTCATCGGATACTTGCGTGGCGGCCGGTACAGCTGTTGGGAAGCAGCTGGTCCGGCTCGTCAGGCGTTTAGAGAACTGAGCCCAGACATCAAAGATTTCCTTGAGACTTCTAGCATCCCACCTACCGAAATTGTATCATGGTCGATGTATATGATCGGGCATAACGAGAGGAACGCTGCACCAAAGCTCTTGATTTGCTCTACCGATGCGAAGACACGAAAGAATATCAGGCAGCTCATCAAGGATAGCAATATTATGGGAAAATACCCTGGCATAGGACTCGGCGACGTTTCGTCACTGCCAGACCGCCCTGTTATTCGAGAGCTATCCCGAGAGGCTATCGAGGCTCTTCTACCTTTTGGTTGCATTAGAGACGGAGCAGTTCTGGCCGACGGATCAGAACCTGCATTAGGGAAGCGAATTTTTGTCGTCAACCCGTATGACTTCTCCTTACGCCCAGCAACAACCGGCCCTATCATCTTGCAAGATGGGAAATGCTACCAGCTGACTGTTGCGCACGCATTCCGATACACCAGAGAGGTCGAGCTTTCACCCGGCCGGCAGATGGCTGAAGACGACTGCGATTTCGATGGCATGAGTGACACTGAAAGAGATGACGGAAGCCAATACGATGAGATGACAAGAAAAGGAAGTGTAACTCCTGGGGACATAGATTCCGACAAAGCATCGTTCATGGCCAGCTTCGACGCTTCCTCTGGAGATAAGCGCTCGAGTTCCAGATCCGAAAGCCCTCCAAGCGACCACTTGGATAGTGGACACGATCCGCGGCAGAGTGTCGAGTCCTTGGAAGACAATCCGGGTCCCGGTGAAATTGATGTATCTCACCTTAAATTCTATGGAAAACTGGTCTTGAGCTCTCTGACCGGAAGAAACCCGTCATTGGACTACGCTCTCATTGAGACCTCAAGGATGCCAGAAGACACTGAGAAGTCATCCATGATCACAGGCTCTCTGGTCTCGAGTATTGGGGAGATAGAGTCTGACGATATCAGCATTGTTACTAGGACATCGCCACATTGCCGAGTTGAAGGGCGACTTACCGCCACACCATCCTATATTCGTCTTCCTGAGCAACGCGCTTTCCAACAAGTCTACCCCATACGACTGGGCAAGCCTTTGCATGACGGAGATTGCGGAACCGCAGTCTTTGGCAAAGACGACAACCGCTTTTATGGTCACATAGTTGCCGGTAGCCCTGGGACTAGCATCGCCTACCTTGTTCCAGCTGAGGAGATTTCTAGAGATATTCAGGCCCGTCTTGGCTTTGGCCTCACATGGATGCCGCAGCAAAAGGGGCTGCGGTTTAGTTGGCGCGGAACTAGCACAGATGCTTCTTCTGCTTCAGATAAACTGCCCAAGCGCCAAAATAGTACTTCAACAGACGATATCGAATACAGGTTTCCAAAACGACTCCGAATTATACATCAGAGTCCTCGTTTACCTCACCCCTTTCCAGCTTCTGTCAATACGGCCCAGCCAGCTACGGGTCTCTCATTAGAGGCGTCGGTTGATACAGCACAGAGGATGGAACGCCGAACTTATGATATTCCGCCGTCGCCTACGAGCAACGACTCTGGCTCATCAAGTACACAACGAGATGAAGCAGCAGGTAGCATTGCCCGAAAATTAGTCCTACCCAAGGATTTTGAAGGTGCTTGCGAAACCTGCATCTTTTGGCTATATTCTCCGGAGATGTTCTCATCACCCGAATGGCATGCTTGCCGTGGCCGCAAAGAAGAAATATCCCACATCGTCACACATATAACCGATCACCACGGGCTCATTCGTGGACATGACCCGAAGTATCCAGCTCGCAAGTACTTGGCAAGCTGTCGGAGCTCTAACCCGTTTGTCAAGGCGAAAGGCAACTGCACGAAATGCCACTCGTTGTCTGAATGGAATGATACAGACTTTGCGGACATTGCACACCATGGTGTTGTCCTTTGTTTGCGTTGTTGGCGCACGTTTGATAAGAAGGGGATGAAAGAGCATATAGCTGGTCCTGTGTGTGATTACAACCCGGAACAGCCAAAGGCTAAGAAACTATGGATTTTGTATACGGTATTTTGCTCTGACACTCAGCTGCCTAGCAAGCCTCCTAAAAGTATGGCACCGCGCAAATCGCTTCATCGACCTTCCCTGCGAACTATTCGTAAAGGTCCACAGCAGGCTGGTCAGAATCATACAGCAGCGCCAGCCTACAATCTAGGGGCAACAAGATCCCCGTCTGGTACAAGACCTTTATTGCCGCGATTGCAGTCTGGTTCTTCACTTATCCCATCTACCGCTAGAGAGTCAACAGAACTTTTGCATTCGCCTAATTTATCGATGCATCAACCGATGTGGTTACAGGAGGGAGCTGGCGACTTCTGGAGCATCATTGGGAGTAACCCCGAACTTCAAACCCCAATCGATGCAGCAGGTCCTCGGCCTCTTCAAGTAACGGATCGCCATCAGGAATTGGAGCCCAAAGACAAGATATCACCCCTTCAGATGGCAGCTATGGAGAAGGACTCAGGCTATAGAAGTGAGGACGAGGAATTTATGTGACGAGGTGGCCCAAAAGCTTCTTTCTGTGGAAGAATATCCATTTTCAGGGGATCTGGGTCTGCCCGTATGATGTTCCCATGGACTTTTGCCTGCTTGGGCTGTGATGGTTTAGACGGGCACCTTCATTACTATACGGAACTCACTCATTGACTGAGCTAGGCTAACGGCGTATCATGATCATGAAGCAAATCTTTTGGACACGGATATTTCAAAGTCTTTTGTTCTTTTTGGATACATTCTCCTAGTTGGTTGGGGATGACACTGGACCCAGTTTCTGTTGTAAGAATAAGTAGCTATTGTATTCTATCGGCCTCTGATGTGCTCTCCGAAATGGGTATCATACTTAGTTGGTCTTTACTATCTTTGTTACCGACTTACTGGCCTGTTTACTGCAAGAATCCCTTTGCGATGCCTAAACTTCCGCTTGAATAGATCCAAAACAGAGGACAATCTTCTTGCATCCAGTCACACAATACATAAACTCAAGATTCAATGTAATTCATCATTCATAAATGGGTATCAAGTTCTATAATTCACTCTCCTTCTCCTTCCTCTTGGCCCTCAAAACAGCAGCATGCTGCTTCGCATGAAACTTCACATCATCCGGATACAGCGGATTCCACACAGTATTACACACCTTACACTCCGAAAACGCAGCCTGCGTCGATAAATTCAGTGTCGTTTGTACAGTCGGCGTTCTCACCTTCCCCTTCTTTCCTGGTTTTGTGTCGTTTGTGCTCGCATCTCGATTTAAAGAGCTCTCTTGAGCAGCGGGTCGAGCTGATTTGGTGCCAGCGTCTTCGGCTTTTGTGTCCTCGCCTTGTGAATCATCTCCTGTGTTGCCTTCGTCTAATAATGGTGTTGATGTACCGCGGAAGCGTAATAGGCGTGGTTTCTTTCGGGGTTCTATCTTAGGGGGCTGTGGTGGTGAGGATGGGGGCGTTGATTCGGGTTGAGGATCGTCGCTCTTTGGACTGGAGGTGACAGTAGACGATGGAGGTACAGGTTTGAAAAAGTTCAAGATTGATCCTTTCTTGACTGGCTCAGTAGTGGGTTTGTTCGTTGTTGTTGACTCGGGAATGTTCTTCGCCTCTTCCGTGACCTCTTTCAGCGGCGCCTTGTCTGTGCCTTTGGATGCTGGTTCAGGAGCTGTTGATTCTGTTGATACCCTTCGTTTCTTGGTATTGGGCTCTTTTGGCGAATCGTCTCGAATGCTTCGTTTGCCATATGTTCGTAGTGGTTTGACGCGCGATCGCGGCACCGATGGCGCTGGACTTGCACACCTGATTGAGTCAGTACATCTTCACTGACACAATAAAAACTTGAGAATCGTACATTCTGGGGGTATGCGCTTTAATGAAGTGTCATGCTGTCCGACATCAAACAGAATTCGTGTTGCTGTCGCGTGGTATGCAGGTAAACAAGTCACACTGCAATGCCGTATAAAGTGTCGGTGGAGTAGAAAAGGTTATATACAATTAGTTTGAGGAAAAGACAGCGGAAGAATGAAAGAAATAAGTTGAATGAATAAACAAGGGACGAGGTGTTGACCTCGAAGTTGAGGCTGGCCGAGGAGAGAAACAATTAAAGTGATAGAAGCCCCACTGGGCTGGGAAGACGCGTCTCAACGCGTCTGGCGCGCAGTCACATGTCTCCTGAGCCATGATATCACCGCTATCATGGCTGCTACTCAATGCCCGTGCTTTTGCTCGAAATCATGATCATGATGTTATCCAGGTAAGAATACGACCATATCGAATTTGTCAATTGTCGTGACAAACCTCGATATCGATATCGATGCGCAGTGAATGTCGCATTGCCATTTGTGAAGCTGACGCCCTCATGCTCGTCTAATTAAATATTACAATATTACGGTATATGCTTGATCATGTCTCTGTCTTTGCTTCTATCTTTCGTTTCCTCACTCCATCTTCCGTCCTATCCTTCTCCCCAATCAAAACACTCTTCTCATCCTCATCCTTCCCCAGAACCCAACTCTCAACAACCTCCCTGACCTCCTTAACCTTCCCATGCTTCTTCCTCCCCTGGTCCATCTTCCAAATGTACGTATTATACACCACAACCTCCGCGATAGCAACAAGAATACTCCCCCCCATCGTTAGAAACATACGTGCCGGCAGACTCCACCACCGCGCTGTAACCCATAATGTTCCTGCGACGCCGGCGATGCTGACGAGGAAGTTGATGATCAGCGTGATCTGCTTGTGCACTTCTTCCATCGCCATGTCGTCGTCGCCGAGGTCTGATGCTGATGTTGGTCGGTTTGCGGCGGCGAAGGAGGCGGTGATGGAGGGGAAGTGGTCTTTGAAGGTTTCGTGTTGGGGAGGCGGGTTTATCATTCGTTCGTAGGAGCGGGCTTCTTCTTCGCGGCGGAGACGGGCCATTAGGGCTTTGTATTCGGGGGACTGCGGTTGTCAGTATGAGTAACGGGGAAGAGGGGATATGGAATGGCTTACGGGTTCGGGTTTGGGAGGCGGAGGAGGGATGTAGACGGATGCGCCGCGGAGGAGTTGTTCGAGGGTGAAGTTTGAGTTGCCTTGAGCTTTTAGTTGCTTCCATAGATCGACTACTTGACCATGTGATATGGGATTTCCAAGTTTCGGGTCGTCTAAGGTAGGCTCTTGGGTGGGCTGTTGTGATTCTTCTTCTTCTGTTTCGTCGTGATCTTCGATTTGTGGTGTTTCTGCAGCTTCGACAGTCGACAACGCCTCCAGGATAGAGGACGTCATTGTGAGCAGCACCATGTTGCCTGTAGCACTTTCTGTGCAAATTATCGTGTTCAAATAGCCGGTACAAGCTCAATAGTGGTAAAGTCGTCGTGAACTGGCGTTGATGCTTAATTGAAACGTATCAAAGGCCAAAGCTTGAATCAACAGGCATCTACTATTTCCAGGCCAGTTCCGTAGCGATTCATCCGCTGACGCTTAGTTCAACGGCCCCATACCCAATCCGGCCAATCACATTCCGTCTTATGACGGCCTGTTATCGGCTGCTCGCCGAACGGACCCGCAATCCCCCCGGCTTAGCAGAACCTGAACACAGCTAGAGCTGGAAAAGTTTAGAGAATCGGATCAATCGAGAATCCAGCAGCCATCGATCAAAATTTCCCTCGCCATTGAACGATCTCGAAATCTGCCCAAACCCGCCTACGAACCACCCGGACAAAAGACGATAACAATTAAACGAATGCCGTTATAACACTCGATCTCACTCAACTTTGGGAATTTATCCATATAGCGACGCTACGATGCTCCGTCCGGGGGCCTCGGTGGTGCGCGGCACTATGAGCAGACAGGCCTTGTGGACGAGGACGAGCGCTGCTGCTCCGGCTTGCGCTCTGTGCAGACAATTGACCGTCAGTCGATCTCCCTCGAGGATACACAGCGCTTCGTTGCATACTAGCCCTCGAAGGGACTCAGCCTGGGGTGCGGCTGTTCAAGTCGCTTCCAATGTTGTAAGCAATGTCGTCAAGAAGGCTTCCAAGGATGCAATGCATGTCGATCCTCTGCGGACCGTCGCCAAAGAGATGAAGTTCCTCACGGGCAATATTCGAAAACTTCTTGGGTCGGGTCATCCCTCGCTTGACCGTGCTGCCAAATATTATACCCAGGCTGAGGGCAAGCATGTCAGACCATTGATCGTTCTCCTCATGAGCAGAGCTACATATCTCTGCCCAAAGAGTCCTCCTACGGCTCCTATAGTTACTCACCGTGGCGTCGACACTTCGATATCGCCAGCTCAGATCCTCGCCGATGTGAACCCCTCTGCTCAGCCTCTATCATCCCTCGAACAAGAAGTCCCCGATGCAAACTCCGATATTCTTCCCAGCCAGCGCCGACTTGCCGAGATCACGGAGCTGATCCACACGGCTTCTCTTCTTCACGACGACGTTATCGACCACTCTATTTCTCGACGTGGTTCGCCCTCGGCGAATCTGGAGTTTGGCAACAAGATGGCTGTTCTGGCGGGTGATTTCCTACTAGGCAGGGCATCCGTTGCGCTGGCCCGTCTCCGAAACCCAGAGGTTGTCGAGCTGTTGGCTACTGTTATCGCTAACCTCGTGGAGGGCGAGTTCATGCAGCTCAAGAACACGGAGCGGGACGAGAGGAATCCCAAGTGGTCGGAGGAGACCGTCACATACTACCTGCAAAAGACGTACCTCAAGACCGCATCGCTTATCTCAAAGTCTTGCCGAGCTGCCGCTTTGCTGGGTAACACGGATGCCGTGACAGTCGACGCCGCTTACTCGTACGGACGAAACCTGGGACTGGCTTTCCAGTTGGTAGACGACCTTTTGGACTATACACAGAGCGGATCGGATCTGGGTAAGCCTGCCGGGGCTGATTTGGAGCTGGGTCTCGCAACGGCACCATTGCTGTTTGCCTGGAAGCAGATGCCGGAACTCGGAGCCCTCGTTGGCCGCAAGTTTGCCCAGGAGGGTGACGTACAAAGGGTAAGTCGGCTGCATTCCCTTTTGGCGAATCACATCTTTTGGAGATAATCCATGTTAATAGCGGTACAGGCACGTGAGTTGGTTCTTCAAAGCGACGGTATTGAGCAGACGAGGGCTCTTGCGCAAGAATACGTGGATAAAGCAATTGCCTCGATTGCGGAATTCCCCGAGAGTGAGGCTAAGGACGGATTGATTGAGATGGCGCATAAGTCGCTCAAGCGACAGAAGTAACGGACCTACATACATCAAGGAGATGAAAAAGGCGGGATAGACGCCGTGTACGAATATCACATCACATCGCATCACATTTATTTTTTTTTTCACGACAGACGGAGGACGAGAGAGGAAAAGCAACATTTTGGTCAAAAAGTCACGGGAGGGATTTTGGTCAGCTGGGTGTACTGTATGATTGTGCTTTAGACTCCCTTTGTTACAAGAACGAGAACGTCTAGACGAGGGGGACAGGAAAGTGATGTATGCATGTATGATTATTACCTGTTTCTTACTTATTTACTGTACTTGAACGTTGTCATAAGAGGGCGTGGGAGCTTGGCAAGGGAGTTATGAAGATGACACTTTAGACTTTTTTGGTAACCTCGGGTATTGAGGGAGAAATGTGTGTATGCTGAGCTGAAACTTGGTGTTTTGATCGAGTAATAGCCCATGCTCGTGATCGAGTAATACTCGCTGCGATGATGGAGTGTTGCCGGATTAGGTGATTGAGTAATCCTCAGTTGGACGTTTGATCATGCACTTCCGCGGGGCCAACAACACGACAATGGACTTTTTGATCGAGTAATGAAAACGTGTTCTGCAGTCATTCGGCCCTCGAACACGAGAACACCTGCTCCCGAATAGCCTCAGTCCACCGAAGAAAGGGATAAAAAAACTAGCGATTTCATCCGAAGCCTCACTTACCTATCCCACGATGGCATTACTCGATGGTTACTCGATTCAATCACCATCGGCGTAAACGGTTCAGTGTCTGATTGGCCAGGCGGACGTCGGCAGTGTCCGATGGACCCTGAAATTCTCGATTTTTTCGAGGTTCGATAAGCTAAGCTTTTCTGTAAGTGGGACCTGAAAGCCGGAACTGGGATCAGTATTGATGAACTCGCAAGATGAGGTTTTGATCGAATAATGAAATCGATCATGTTCCCCGAGCCGAGAAATCTCGTTAAGAGCGAGGCCATTCCCGGATCCTGGGGGTGGCTTGTTCTCCCCATTCCCTTTCTTTTGCTTCTCTACCAATTGCCTCGTCCTCTCTGATAAGGAAATTCTCCGATCACTCGATCTTAGCCTGTGCTTCTTATCTTGCGTCCCTCTCTCGTCTGACGTTTTGGTTTCTTATCTTTGAAGACTGGACAACCCCACCAATCCCGTGCTCAGCCCCTCCATCGAGTGTAGAGATAAGAAGGATAAGGAGAACGAGTAAAGACCTCGGCGAGAAGCACGAGGACGAAAAGGGATCGAAACTAGGATTCCCCGGATTTTTTGATAAGCTGTAGCCTTATCTTTCTCGTTCGAGATTGAGTTTCATTCTCTTTCTTTTTTCCCTCTCTTTATTCTTCCCCTGTTTTGGTTCATCAACCGCTGTTTCTGCCCATCATGACAACTTCAAACGCTGAGCAATACCCCGAGGGACCTCTCTCTGTCCTCACCTCCTCTCGAGTCGTCGTCACTCTTCCCGATGACTCTCTCGCTATCACTCCCGCTTCCATCGTCGTCAGCCCCATCACCGGAAAGATCATCTCTGTCATCCCCGAAATTCTCCCCTCAACAAGCTTCCCTGCTGGTACTGAGTATGTCGACCATACTCCCAAGCTTCTCCTGCCCGGTCTCGTCGACGCTCATGTTCACTTGAACGAGCCTGGTCGTACAGAGTGGGAGGGCTTCTGGACTGGTACCCGTGCTGCTGCCAGCGGTGGTGTCACTACTGTTGTTGACATGCCGTTGAATGCTATTCCTCCTACTACCACTCTTCATGGGTTTGAGGAGAAGTTGAGGGCGAGTCGGGGACAGTGCTGGGTTGATGTCGGGTTCTATGGTGGTATTATCCCGGGTAATGCTGATGAGCTGAGACCCCTTGTCGAAGCTGGCGTTCGAGGATTTAAGGGATTCTTGATCGAGTCTGGTGTAAGTTTCCTGTTTTGTTGAGTTTGAACGTAAGCTGACATTCATAGGTCCCCGAGTTCCCTGCTGTATCTTCCAAGGATATCGCCCTCGCCATGGAGACTCTCAAGGAAAGCCCTACCACTCTCATGTTCCACGCCGAAATGATCCCTCCCATCACTCAATCTGTCGGTGATGACGTTCAGACCTCTGAAGCTCCCCTCGCTCCCACCGGTGAACTCACCGCATACAAGACCTTCCTCGAATCTCGACCCCCTGCCTTCGAAACATACGCCATCGAGGAGATTCTCAGCCAAGCACACATTGCCCCCTCGCTACACCTTCACATCGTTCACCTGTCCGCTACCCAGTGCATTCCTATCCTCAAGGCAGCTCGCAAGGCAGGCATCAACATCACAGCCGAGACTTGCTTCCACTACCTCGGTCTAACGGCTGAGGAGATTGAGAAGGGTGACACTCGACACAAGTGCTGTCCTCCTATCCGAGAGGGAAAGAACCGCGATGGTCTTTGGGATGAGCTCGTCGCTGAGGACTCATGCATCAAGACTGTTGTGTCGGATCACTCACCCTGCACACCACAGCTCAAGCTCCTCCCTCAACATCTCGACGCCGATCGACCCAACATTCCCCACAACGACTCCGGTATCGACATGACAAACTCCGCAACCCAGAAGGCCGAGAAGGAGCGTGGTGATTTCTTCGCAGCCTGGGGCGGCATCTCATCTGTCGGTCTAGGTCTCCCCATTCTTTACACCGCCGCCAAGAAGCGCAGCGATTTCTCCAAGACACCAAGTATCACCGACATTGTGCGTCTCTGCTGCCAAGCCACAGCCGCTCAAGTCGGTCTCTCGCATCGCAAGGGCGCTATCAGAGTCGGTATGGACGCCGATATCTGTGTCTTTGACGATGCAGACGAATGGACGTTTTCACAGGGTGATATGCGATGGAAGAACCGCTGCTCACCGTGGGAGGGCCATCAGTTCACCGGTCGCGTGAAGGAGACTTGGCTGCGTGGAAACAAGGTATTTGAGCTTGGAGCGGCGAATTCTGGGTTTGTGGCTGGCAAGCCTTTGGGGGAGGGCATCACTGAGAAGCGGACATGTTTAAATGATTGATGATGAGATATAGCATTTTGGGCGTTGGCGGATAGAATTGTACTTTATCTATGTATGTCTCGGGGGTTTGTGTTTTTCTTATTGGACAGCATGAGTAATGAAATTGGAGATTGATGAGATTATGGCGTCATTGGATTTTGTTTTATGTGCATGTGAGCTTCTGATGCGTCTTGAGTGTAGCATGAAGAAAGATGATTTGGAGAAATTGTGGGGTTGACGATGCATTCATTATTTGGTGTGAGGCATTTGGAGGTTCTACTCCGATCTACGAAAGCAATTAATTGTTATTGTTTAACTGACGGAATGAGAACAATCGAGGCCACGATCTAGAAGAGCAATGTTCACAACTTCACCAAATTAAGCAGTTCCTTAACTACCTCTCTAGCTTCCTCCCTCGTTTAATCTCACGATCTCGAGTCATGGCCATTTAGCCATTCCTTAGGTGGGGAGCAAGAAAACACAAGACCTAAGTTTAGGGTGACAGAATAAACTTATCCTAAACGTATCCTAAACTCATCCTAAATTTATACTAAGTTACCTAAATCTTTTTATCAGTTAGGCCTAAAGGTCCCAAGTTTTATTTCTTCCCCTAGCCATTCCATTCCACAGCATCAATCGCATTGTCCAATCCAACACTCTTATTAGCTACCCCGTATAACATTCTTAAACGGCTAAAAGATTACCGCATCATCATGCAATACGAAACAAACCTTGACCTCGCGAAAATCGTTAAAGAGCTCGCTTAAGTCGCATCGAACATTAAGAAAAAGACCTCGGTTTAGGCGAGAGAGACGGTTGCATCGTTTAGCAGCCGAAGTGGCACGCCAAGCGCTAGACATGTTTTCTTTGGGACATGTTAGCGAATGTTCTTTTTTTGCCTTTCAGGGATCATGGGGAGTGATAAGCGAGGTGTAAGTGGTATTGATCATGAACTAACTCTACAGTGAGATTGACTTTCTGGGGGGTTCATTGGGGGGACTGCACTGCTGTGCTTATACTGAAGGAGTCTTACAGTGCCATCCTCTATGACAGTGAGATATATGTAGAAGCATGTGAAGTGAATTGACCTCCCTCTTTAATCCACTCCTTGCTCGGAACTGACCAACTCCGAAATGTCTTCTCTCCACGTCAGCAACAATGGCACCCTCCACCAACGCAATTCCACAAATCACACGCTTCTCCTCTCCCCTTCTCGATCAATTCTTCTCGGCCTAGACCCTTGCCCCCGCAACCTCGCTTCCATTCCCCGATCTCCACTGTCCACACCCATCAAAAGACCTCACCCGACTCTAGAACAAACCCAGCGAATCATACGCTCCTCTCGGGTATTAGCCTTGGAAGCTCGTCTATACAGACTTGACCATGAATTGCCTCTTTGGGACAGTGACCGTTGGGTCTTATGCGGTGGGATTTCTCGTCGACTGGTTATTGTCAGATTTCGCTTCTTGTTCCTCTTTTTCAAAAGGCTATTGTACTGGGCGTCATAGATCCCAGCCAGCCTGAATACTCTGGATAATAAGCACCAAGTTACTGTTCAAGAGACATAATGTCCCGGGCTTGGACTAATAGGTAACATTTTCGCATTCGATCGCGCTTACGACAAAGAAACGCAGTCATGTCGCATCATGATCCCGATGTTGAAAAGATGGACAGAACCAGTTCGCCGGATCTTTCGATAGATCCTGGTATTCACCATCTTTCCGGAGGCCATCTTTCTCTCGACGATGTAAAAGCCGTTCATGTTCAGCTTCACAACTTGGCTGTGTCCGTTGACACTGCACCGTCATGGCTTGCGCCCTCGACATACGGAGATCTGTTCTCCTCAAAGTTCAGCACCGCTCCAAAGATGAAGCCGTTACTCAACGCCGTAAACGCCGATCTTCAACCTGGAACGTTAACGGCTATTATTGGAGGTAGTGGCTCGGGAAAGACGACGCTGCTCAACACAGTCGCTGAACGAGTGTTGAGCTCGAGGTTGAGTCAAGAGGGAGTTGTGACGTTTAATGGAAAAGTTGGCGTTCATAATGTTCGTGCTGCATATGTTATGCAGCAGGATATCCTACTGCCGACACTCACTGTCAGGGAAACGTTGCGATACTCGGCCGATCTACGCCTACCACCATCAACGACTGCTGAAGAACGCCATAGAGTCGTTGAAGAAGTCATTCTCGAACTTGGATTAAAAGAATGCGCCGATACACGAATCGGTAACTCGCAGCATCATGGATGTTCAGGCGGTGAAAAGCGACGAACAAGTATCGGTGTTCAACTCCTCGCCAACCCATCAGTCCTCTTCCTCGACGAGCCTACGACCGGTCTTGACGCTACGAGTGCATACCAACTTGTACGAACGCTCAAGACCCTTGCGCAAAAGGGGCGCACCATCATAACGACGATTCATCAACCGCGCTCTGAAATCTGGGATCTTTTCGACAATCTCATTGTTCTCACGAAAGGCAGCCCTGTGTTCTCGGGCGCCATCAAAGATGCTGTTCCATGGTTCGCAGACTTGGGTTTTCAGCTTCCGCCTTTTGTTAATCCCGCTGAGTTCATCATTGATATCGCGGCTGTTGATAATCGCACTCCTGAGTTGGAACAAGAGACTTCTGCGAAGGTTGAGAGGTTGAAGGGTGCTTGGAATGAAGAGACGCTGAAGAGGCATCGGCCTCTTGATACGGTTGATGTTGGGGATGGGAAGAAGAAGGATAAGAAGGCGGAGGAACATGCGGGTTTTGTGCGACAACTCACTGTTCTTACAGATCGTACCCTCAAAGTTACATACCGTGATCCCCTCGGTATGGCAGCTACCCTCACTGAAGCTATCTTCATGGGCCTTGTCTGCGGGTACTTATTCTTCGATCTCGGCCGCGACCAAGCCGGTATTCGCTCTCGACAAGGTGGACTATACACAGCAGCCGGTCTTCAAGGCTACCTAATCCTCATCTTCGAAGTCTACCGCATGACATTCGACATTCCCACCTTCGACCGCGAGAACTCCGAAGGATGTGTCGATGCCCTTCCATTCGTCCTCTCCCGAAGAATCGCCAGAATGGTAACAGAAGATGTCGCTGCGCCGTTTCTCTTCTCGGTCATCTTTTACTTCATGGCTGGATTTGACCGTGATGTTGAAAAGTTCTTTACCTTCTTTGCGATCACGCTGTTGAACCAGTATATTGCTGTTACGTGTGCCATGACGTGTGTTGCGACGGTTAGACACTTTGCTGGGGCGAGCGTGATTGCAAATCTGGTTTTTACACTGCAGAGCATGGCTTGTGGAATGTTCATCAATGTGAACAGTCTTCCTGTTTATGTTCGATGGCTCAAGTGGCTTACTTACACGGTATGATCCTATACTCACTCATATATCCAATACTGACAAGAGTAGTTCTACGTCTTTAGCGCATATTGTGGAAACGAGTTTGAGGGGAGTTTCTACGATTGCCCCTTTGGCGACGAATCAGACCCGCGATGTAAACAGTACACGGGCTCATACGTGATGGCATCTCTCGGCTTCCCCAAAGGCTGGACTGCCAAACCGATCCTCGTATGCCTCGCCTTTGTCGTATTCTTTGTGGTGCTATCAGTCATCGGACTCCATATCCTCAAAGTCGAAATGACGATCGCTCGCGCTCGTGTCTCGGATACCGATCTTTCTGCTGGAAAAGAGAAGATGACAGCACGGTCCGTCGCCGACGTTCGAGCCATTGACCTGGAACTTAACCAATTCTCACTCGCCTTGGATAAGAGAACTCAATTGGGGAAGAAGTTACCGACAAAGACAATTCTTAATCCTGTGAATGCGACGTTCAACGCTGGGGTTTTGAATGTGATCATGGGTCCCTCGGGGAGTGGGAAGACATCGCTTCTCAACTCGATGGCTCTGAGACTACGGAACTCAGTGGGAACGAAATATCGACCAGCTGGAAAGCTCACTTTCAACGGCGCTGTTCCCTCAGATTCGGTTATTCGATCAGTCTGCTCTTATGTCTGTCAAGACGATGATGCGTTGCTGCCATCGCTTACAGTTCGTGAGACACTTCGCTTCGCAGCTGGTCTTCGTCTACCCTCGTTCATGAGCAAGGAGGAGAAGAACCGTCGGGCAGAAGATGTATTGTTGAAGATGGGTTTGAAGGATTGTGCTGATAACCTCATTGGCGGCGAACTCGTCAAGGGTATTTCTGGAGGAGAAAAACGTCGTGTTTCCATCGCTGTGCAAGTTCTCACTGATCCTCGTATTCTTCTCCTCGACGAACCAACATCCGGACTGGATGCTTTTACCGCTAATTCCATTATGGAAGTCCTTCAGGGTCTCGCCAACGAAGGCCGCACTCTCATTCTTACGATCCATCAAGCTCGATCGGACCTTTTTAGAGAATTTGGAAATGTATTGCTTCTGGCGAGAGGTGGTTCGCAGGTTTATTCTGGTCCTGGAAAGGATATGCTTGGATATCTCGCCCGTCGTGGATACGAGTGTCCGACACATACCAACCCAGCCGACTTTGCACTCGACATGATTACTATCGATCTTCAACAGGAGGGCAGGGAATTAGAGTCTCGAAAACGCGTTCAGAAACTGATCGATCATTGGAAAGAAGAGAGTTCTTCTACCAACGAAAAGCCTGCTGGTCCACTAGATGAAGTCACCAAAGATACCCCTGAACAACACAACGCTCAAACCACAACACACCGCCGCTCCTTCAACAAAGCCAACCTCTCAACCCCCGCAGAACTCGGCGCCCTCATCCGCAAACGCGCCCCGATAACAACATCCCTCCCCCTCCTCCTCCACCGCGCCACCATAAACACCTACCGCCAGCCCGAGCTCATCGTCGCACGCCTCATGCAAGTCATCGGTCTCGCTCTCGTCCTCGCCCTCTTCTTCGCCCCCTTCGACAACGACTACTACTCCGTCCAGAACAGAATGGGTTTTGTCCAGGAGATTGGCGCGTTTTACTTTGTCGGCATGTTGCAGAACACAGCGATCTATCCGAATGAGCGAGATGTGTTTTACAGGGAGGATGATGATGGGGTCTATAGTGTGCATGCGTTTTTGGCGGCTTATACGATTCTCGAGGTGCCGTTTGAGATTATCAGTTGTATGATCTTTGGTGTTTTGGGGGTTATCGCTGTTGATCTCCCGCGGACTGCGACGCTGTACTTTGTCTCGGTGTTTGCGTGTTTTGGAATCGTATCATGCGGCGAATCGCTCGGTATCATGTTCAACACACTCTTTGGCCACACCGGTTTCGCCGTCAACATAATGGGCGTGTTTCTCGCGCTGGCTAACACAATGGCTGGAATTCTCTCCATCGATATGCCAGAGCTCTTCAAAGCGTTCAACTACCTCTCCCCGATTCGGTACGGCACACGAGCTGTGGCGCCATACTCACTTAGGGATATCACGTTTACGTGTAATGACGAGCAGAGATTGGAGAATGGCAAGTGTCCGATTGAGACGGGGCAGCAGGTGTTGGAGTTGTATAACTTTGATGTTGATCCTGTGGTTAATGTGGCGTGTTTGGCGGCTTGTGTGGTGGTGTATAGATTACTGGCTTGGGGACTGTTGAAGATTGCTAGGACGCATTGGAAGGGGAGGGAGAAGAGTGATGAGAGTGTGAAGGGATAGAGAGGATCGCTGGTGATGGAGACTCTGGATCAAGAGTCAAAATAAAGGGGAAAGGCCATAGAAGTTGAACTCAATTAATCAAAAGCTATCCGACTTTACAAAGAAATATACCCAAGACTTGCCATAACTTAGGATCGATACAAGGCGCTGATCTCCCGGTAGTGCCAGATCTTCCATTATCCTTAACACCAACAAGCACCAAATATCTCAATAATCCTCAGACTACTCACTATAGATTGGCAGCACAAAGAATACCGTGTTCCTTTCTTAAGAACGCCTTTCTTCCTAGTAACAACACGTGATATTTCCTGATGCAGAGGCGGGGAACCTGGTGTTGTGTTAGGTTGGTCGTGTTCATTGCAACGGTTTAAGTACAACCAACATGCATTTGCATATAGCTCTCTCCAATCACAGCCCTCGCCAAGCATGCCTGTCTACGATAAAAACCAGTCCATGTCTGAAGTACTTTAATATCTCAACAGAAGCAATTCATTCATGCCAAGGTCAAGATGGCTGAGACGAACGAACCTGTTGTTGTGCCGGATGAACAGGTCAGTCAGTACATTGGCTTTTATGAGTAGGCCTGACTATTCTGGTATAGGAGGACAATGACTCAACGATTGGTGAGGTATAATAGCCCATCAATCCATGGTATGTCTCAGTTGCTAAATGCATAGCTTAGGACTCTGCATCTACAACAGCAAGTGTCTCTGAGTCAATCTATAACTACCGCTGTGAAAACGGTAGGACATATCATGCATACAAAGACGGCAGTGAGTTAAGCTACTTCAACATCCCAAGCCCTTTCTCATCCGAACTCTAGAGTACGTCTTGCCGAATGACGAGAAAGAAAAGGAAAGATTAGGTATGTTCTACTTCTACACTCTTCAGTCTTCCGTTTCTGATCCTGTGTCCCGTCAGATCTACAGCATAATCTGTTCCTTCTCACCTTTGGCGATAAGCTTGGCCTCGCACCGCCTTGTTACCCTGACACAAAGGTGAATCGTGTTTTAGATCTTGGAACCGGGACGGGGATTTGGGCGATGGACTTTGCGGATGAACATCCTGAAGCAGAGGTACGTGCAGTTCGGACTCTCTTTTCCATCGGTTTGGAGGAACTGACGATCTAGGTTATCGGCGTCGACCTCTCCCCGATTCAATCAAGCTTGTGAGTTTCTATCCGTGCATGGGCTTATATACAGATGTCTAACATTTTCTTAGTATCCCACCGAACGTGACCTTTGAGATCGACGATATCGAAGACGACTGGACCTACTCAAAGCCATTTGACTACATCCACAGCCGTTTCATGACATCCTGCATAAGCGACTGGAAGAAATACCTAACCCAATGCTTCCAGTACATCCCCCTCTCCCACCCAACCACATCCCATCTAACCAAACTTCAGAAACTTAACCCCCAACGGCTATCTCGAACTCCAAGAAGCAGATCTCACCATCAAATCCGACGACGACACCGTCAAGCCCGATAACCCACTCCTCAAGTGTCTCAAGCTCCTACAAGAAGCATCAGAGCGCTTCGGTCGTCCATACATAGACATCCCAGCGCTAGTAGACGTCATGGAAGAGATTGGGTTCGTAGATGTCAAGATCGAGAAGTTCAGGTGGCCGAGCAATTCGTGGCCGAGGGATAAGAAATACAAGGAGCTGGGGGCTTGGTGCTATGAGAACTTTTCGAGTGGGCTTGAAGCTATTACTATGGCGGCGCTGACGAGGGGTCATGGGTGGAGTGTGGAGGATACGACGGTGTTTTTGATGGATGTGAGGAAGAGTATGGGGGATAGGAGGATTCATGCCTACTGGCCGATGTGAGTTGAACCCTCTTGTTACGTTGCAGGACTAACTGGAGTTTAGTTACTCTATTTACGGGAGGAAGCCGTAGTGCAATAGTATAACGAGAGAGCGTTGGTGTTGCGGTACCTGAGAACGTTAAGCTATGCCCAATGATGGTGTCATGTAACCTTAACTCCTTTCTTTTTAGCCGAAGCTAACATTGCATTTCGTAATGTCACACTATTCTTATCGGGCAGTTCTTCCTGTGTGACATCGTACACGGCGTTGAAATAGACTTCGTACCTCATGCAGATCATGCAACCAAAACCTCAAACGTTAGTACAGGGGTCATAGCGTCACGACATCTAATCAACATCTTGGCGTAACCAAAGTATCCTGGACCTATAGCATCACGATTCAAGGTTAATGAAGCAAGTATCATGAGAAGAATTCCTACGTCTCAGTTGATATGCGTAGCTAGTAACTAAGCCAGCGGCATGAACCATAAACTCCAATGCTCAAGGATGAGTACCTGACGTTCCACCAGCAAAGAACAACAGTAGCAGAAACAATAGCCAGCAACTACCTTTTCCCAAATCATCTTTTTAGAATCAAGCCAAATCAGCTCTTGCAGAACCAGAGACAGACAACAGGCTTCTCCCCCTTGTTTCCAGTCCTGGACGAATCCCAACCAACCTCATCCATGGTCTTGCCAATCTCATCCTTGTCATCCCCAGTGAAAGAATACCCCTTGTACCACTTGCCATTTCCTCCACTGTAGAGCTCGAAGCAGATGTTCTTCTTCGCCGAGGGATTGGTGCACCCAAATCCCTTCAAGAGATCACCTAGTTTTGTCGATGTCGGAACGTGCGAGGCAATAAAGGGGATCTGGGCGTTTGTCTGCAGCTGCCAAGGAGGGACATCACTCTTGAACACATGAACCTTGGTATGGTTCGCGGGGAAGAAGTAGTTGTACCCAGGCTCACAGCCAACACCACCAGACGAGTTGGTCATCTGCGCAGCAGGCATCTTCGGGTCGATCTGCGGAATGGGCTGCGCCTGGCGAGGAAGAATGTTACCAGTCCCGTTGGGCTGGTGCGCATACGTCTGCTGAGTCTGAAACCCAGCTACCGGTCCCTGGGGAGGGAATCCGTAAACGGGCTGGCCATATGCGGCTGTGCCGGGATACATATAGCCGTACGCGGGGGGAGCTAGACCAAAGTTATACCCAGGACCACCAAGATGAGGAACATACGGCTGACCCTGCGATGGGATCGGTGCACCCATGGGTGAGTAGTTTGGTCGTGAGCCTGTAGCGTCACGACCGTTGATGGGGTTCCAACCAGACATGGTGGTTGATCGTGGGAGGAAGGGAAGGGGAGTCAGAGGGGTTGCCAGGTATGAACCCAGCGACGAACGTTCGGGTCGAAAGATGCTTGCCAGAAGCCAGGAACTTGACCCTGGGTCGTTGGATTCCAAGTCGGTGGAATAGCGTATGGCGGAGATTGGTTCCAATATGGAAAGACTTGTTGGGCTTGAGGTACTTGATAGTTCAAAGCTTGGTTGTGATGATAAGATCGTTCTTGGTAGGAAGAGAAAACGTCTGGGGAGAGTCAGAATTGTGGAAGACGAAGAGTTTATATAGAGCATTCCACGCATGAATGTCTGTAGCAAATCTTCAAAGGATCAGTGTTTACCTGAAGAAGCTGCCTCCTCGGTGTAACTCTCCGCCACAGACTCAGTATCACTAGACTCGTCTTCAGAGTCCGAATCGACGTCCAACCGACCAGCAAAGATCTCAGTGCTCCAGAGGACGTTATCGTGTCTGTCGTAGAATGCACCAACAATGATCCAAGCCCAGAAAGGTGATTCTCGCGAAGCTTCAAGACGTTGGGTGATGATCAGCTTAGAAGCTGGATATGGCAGCGGGACGTCCTCAATAGTCCTACAGTGAACCGGGCTTGAGTTGGACATAAGGACGAGTCTGAAAAACAAACTGAGGAGAATGAAGGACGGCTGGTTGACAGGAACAAGTCCGTAAGACGATGGTGGTGTTTATTTATGCTGCTGAGAGACAGATATCTGGGCATGATCAACTACACGTCTTGGCGATTAATCAGGTCCGAATCAGAGGCCATGTAGGCTAGACGTCGAGTTGTTCGTGAGTATCTCCTCACAAGAGTCACGAGACTCTTGAGCTGAAAGTGATTCACCAGTCATTACGTCAACCTTGCAGCTATTCTCAAACGTCGGCGATGCGGGGTACAATTGGATGAAGACCCCGGAGCAACGCTATTCAGGTCAACTTCAGATGTGATACGCAGCTGGCGAACACAGCCTCATGGTGGTGCGTCCTGTCAGCGTGTCGTGCGTCACACATGAACATGCCACACGGCTCGGTTGATGCCTGGTATCCAATCACTTGACTTGGTTCGTCGTGGCTGTCCGCCTGAAAATGCAGTGAATATCTGGTTCGTCAGAGGAGCTGAAATGGTTGTGATCATGCATGAGATCGACAGGACATGTTGTGAGTGGAGCTGGGACACCACTCAGATCGGGCGCAGTTGGTTGTGAATGGCGCAGGTCAAGAACAGTTGATGTGCAATGCATAGTGAATCGATTCAATTCAGATTAACTCCGTGACGCTTTCCTGAGCATTGTAAACTGACAAAATTTGCGAAATATGACGACAAGCAGTTGATAAGAGTCGAAGAAATGATTGGCTGCGTGAAGCCGGTTCTGCTGGTGTCGATGTCGACATCAGGTCATGAGATCCATTGCACATCAGGTGGCATGGAAGAGCCGCATCCTGCAAGATTCAGCAACGACTCAGTCCGAATCAGTCTTCATCGCTTGTGGCCTCAACGACTCGAACTCCGCCTCCCTTCTTGGCGGACTCAATCTCCCTCTTTTGTTGCTGCTGCTGTCTCTTCCCAACCTCATTCACCAGACCCTTCAGATAGACCTCGGCCTGAACAGTAGCACTATACGCAGCTGGTGTCCAGTTCCAAATGTTGCGCTTATGAATATCCGCGCCCGCCGCCAGCAGCGTTCGCAGCACCAACAGGTTTCCATTCCCGCTTGCAAAATGCAATGCCGTATTTCCCTCCACGTCCGCTCGGCGGACTGCATCGTAAGGTCCCCCTGGGACAAAGGTAAGGAGGAGCTGAACAATAGTGTCGTGTCCACCAAGACTAGCTTCCATCACGGCATCGCGACCTCGAATGTCGCGACGAAGAATACATGTTTTGTCGTGTTCGCAGAGGAGTTGCACAACCTCGGTATGGCCACCGGCTGAGGCGAGCATCAGCGCTGTTTGATGGGTCTCGTTGAGTGCAGGGACTGGATCCTCGTGGCCGAGCTGTAGGAGCACTTCGCAGACTTCGCGGTGTCCTAGAGAGGCTGCTAGGTGCATGTTTGAATTGGAAAGGCCGGATGGTGAAGAATCGGGATTCAGGAGAAGATTGGGATGTGTCTTGAGAATTCGGCGGAGGAGAGTCGCATCATTGGCATGAATAGCCCGACGGACGCGAATAGAAGGTTCAATCCTATTGTTTGTTAGTCTTGAGCATGGTGCTCTCGAGTCGGCGCACTTACATGATGGAGGGCGACTGGTCATGACGGTTGCGATTGGAGGCCAAGAAACATGCCGCGCAATCGCGAAAAACGAAGATTGAATAGAACAAAAGAAGCGAAAGGCAGATTACAGGCTGAAGATGGATATTTTAATGACACGTTAGAGAAAGGAAACGCTAAATGAGGCCGTAGTTGAAGTAATGTAATGAAAGAGGGGAAGAGAATGGAAGCAAGTAACAGAGTGAGTGCTGAGGTGACGATAAGATTCCAAGAAAGCTTAACTCGAGGAAATGCTGCGCCCGCTTGCAGCAAGCAGCTCCTCATGAAACAGGCGGCGCCGACCCCACATTGCGCTGACATCCACTAACCTCAGTTAGCTTACCCGCTGTTTGTTGCACAAGCCTGAGAGAGACCTCGACAAGAGGTGCATACAAGCAGCTGGCCTCAGGGAGCAAGAAAACACTGAACTTAGATATAGAGTGTTAAAATCAACTTAGCAAAGAGTCCCCTAAAGTTCGGCTGGATTTACCCAGATATTTTTATCAAAGCATCATGGGGATGTTGTTGGTATCATGAGACCCACTCCACTGTTCTAAGCGCTGTCATGTCTTTGGCTTGTGACGATGGAGCTTCATCGACGTCAAATTTACCCTATAAATTAAGGCGACTCCTGTTTGTTTCAATAGCATCACATCAAAACAGTTTGTTTGCGAGAGACCTGTTTTATTCTACAGATATGCCCTTGAAGTACTCAGAGAGGCATTTTGTACTCTTTTCACTTTACACAAGGCCTTCCCAATTTAATCATCCAGACCCTTTAGTCCAAGGGATACCCAAGCTTTGTCTCAGTTGATTGCCTGTGTGTTTCTCAGAGACACAAGCTTCTGCTGTCCACCTCACTGAACCGTACTACAAGTGAGAGAATCTTATTCCATCCATAACCTCGCCAGCGCTGAACGACAAATCACCAAGATCTCATCACCAGTAATGATACGATTTGAGATTATCAATATAATACTACTTTCTGACTACCGACCTCAACACACGGGCTTGATCACCCGGCGAAGCACGCCCGGTTAGCTCAATCGGTAGAGCGTGAGACTCTTAAGAGTTCACAATCTCAAGGTTGCGGGTTCGACCCCCGCATCGGGCTGTTCCTATAAATTACATATTCATGATTGAGATGTGCTTTCTTTTTTGCGATTTTTGCCAATTCCAAAGTGCCAATTGATGATAGCAGCGTATATTCTCATGGTGTCTTGAGATGACTATTGTTCAATGGACGTTATTACAGACGACTGAGAAGCGGCTCGATGTTAATGTGCAAACATGGTATTACGATGTTGAGAGTAAGATACAGATAATCCCCTTCCTTTATTATCACAGAATAAAAACCCGGTTAAACCGTCTAGTTCAGCTCATGAGCTTTCTTAATAGCCTTATTCTTGCCCGTGTCCAGTACGACAGCAGGATCCTCTTCATCACCCTTCCTGGAGACCTCATTACCATTCTTCGTTGTAATAGTTGTACTGCACTCAATGTTAGTAACCAATCTCATCAACAATCGAGGAACTCACTCTTCAGCCTTGACGTCCAAGACTTTACCCTTGGGCTGTCCCTGTCCCCAGTTCCAGCTCACAGTCTCACCCTTCTTAGGTCCTTTCTTTGCGCCAGAGTCATCACTACCCTCATCATCATCTTGCTCTTCTTCAGCGTCTTCCTCCTTCTTTGATGATCCATTGGACTTCTTAGACTGGCCATTGGACTGCTTCTTCTGTCCCTGCTTCTTCTCATTTTCTTCTTCCTCCTCCTCCTGCTCCTCTTCCTCTTCATCATTGGACTTTGTAGACTCTCCCTTACGAGTCTCACGCTTCTTGTTGGAACCAGTCTGGCTCCGAGTGGCCCGTCGCTTCTCACCGGTTTGCTTATCATCGTCATCACCTTCTTCTTCCTCAGCTTCCTCAGCGTCGTCGTTCTCTTCTTCCTTTTCCTCTTTCTCTTCCTTCTTCTCACTGCCGTTCTCGTTGCTCTGGGCCTTGAGGAAATCGTGACCCCAGTTCTTGAGTGACGCGTAGGACTTGGTCTTCTTGACCTCCTCGGGGGACTTGTCGTTGTTGGCCTTGGTCTCCTGAGCGAGATGTCGCTTGCTACATACTGTTAGCACCCAATTGACCAACGGACCATGTGATATTAGTCGCAATCAGCGTGAGCGACTTACCAGTAGGAAACAACCTTGCGCATATGCTGGACCTGCTCATCGGTGTACTTCTCAGGTTCCTTCTTGGGGTTCTCCTTCAAGATCTCGACAATTTTACGACCGCTGTCATGTCCGACAGTCTCGCCATTCTCATCCTCCTTGGGCCAGCCAGCGCTGTTGGAATCGTCTGACTTGAGCCACTTCTCGAGCTCTGAGGCCGTCATGTTGACGACCTCGTTGAACTCTTGGATGACTTCATCGTTGCCCTTCATAACTGCGGTTTTGTTTACGGATTGGATTGGAATATGTGTAATATCGAGAGAATTAAGTAATTGGAATCAATTGATGAGAAAAATATAAATTTGTCTAAACCATCACCCAGGTTTTGTAACCACTGTTATTGCTTTTGGTCTCAGCCGTGTCGTCATTCCAGCCATCTCTTAATCGTAGCGTCATAGAAAAAAAAAGGTACGAAGAATGCGTCGCAAGTAGCTTACGGTGATCGATTGAACCTAATTGAAGTAAATTGACTCTGACGTTTAAGTGCGTGCATGGTCTCAGCTGAACAAGGTTGGACCGATCTGATGCGGTCGTCCAAGGAACGCGATCCGATCAGTGGGATGAGCGCATCATTTCCGGCGATCGATGGTTGCTTGGCTTGGAAGTGGGCCAGGCACAGGAGCGAGATGGATCGTTTTTGGTCAAGCCTGGTAGGGCTCAATTGGACTAAGGGGAATAATGATGATGGGAGGGAGCTGAAGGGATGCGTGCTGGACAATTGACAGTTTTTGGTGCTCTTGTTGGCCTGCAGGGAACCATAAGACGAATCAAATGGTAAGGCATCTTGATGACTCATAATATTCCGAGTCACCAGATGCATAATGATCAGATTATGAATACTTAATCTCTATTATTATGGCTCAAGCCAAACAACTACCCTTGAATATATGAAGATGTCAGTCGACGCTGGATTGGCCTGACCTGAGCTTTGTCTGAATTGAGTGCGAAGGTAACATCAGTCCTCCATTATCACCAAACTCCGATCGGTGCCAGCCAACATCATAACCAAGTACAATCCAAGCAATACCATTGAAGGCCTTTCACAGACCGTACTCTCTTCATGCTAAGGGTCTACCGCAATCTTCTCGTGAAATACTTCTACATCGAATCCACGGCAGTTCCATTTGCACTCAAGCTTCAGAGCTAGGACCTGAATTAATGATGCAATCGTCAAAACAGCTTCAAATCCCCCTCGCTAAACCCAAAAGAGCAACCAAAGGCCCCACCGCGGGGTTCTTCGGCTGCGGGAGCGGGGCCATTTTTCGCCGGGGTCGCAATCTCAGGCCGAGTCAGGAGCAGACCATTCTAACATTCACACCTTGACTCTTTTCTGTGACTCAGATAAAAAGAAAAAACATCCGACACACCAGGTACGCGATATCCTTCCTATTTCGATCATTACTTTATAATTCAATCGCATCGTACTGTGCGTTTCCTCTCTTTTATGTTTTCATGCGCATCAATTGAGTCCTCACTGAGCCTTTTCACGCGCTGCACTCGTCTCCGCCACTCGCACTCATCTTTTCCAATTCGATCGCAACAAGCTAATTCTTTTCGATACTTCAGAATTGACAGCTTAAGAACCGTCGCCATCATGTCTGAATATCCTCATATCCTTCTTCGCGCTGAGGAGAAGCCTCTCGAGCACCGATCTTTCTCCCCCCGCAGTTATCAAGACACTCGTTGATGCTGGATACCCCATTTCCGTCGAGCGATCTTCCACCGATCCCAAATTTAGGCGTATTTTTGAGGACTCAGAATATGAAGCTGCTGGTGCTCGCCTTGTCGACACGGGTGTCTGGCCCAACGCTGAGCCTGGGACAATCGTTCTCGGATTGAAGGAGATTCCTGAGGAGGATTTCCCTCTGAAGAATGATCACATCGTATGTTGAATCTCTGGCACTAGGGCGCTCCTGTTACTGACTCGACTTAGACATTTGCCCACTGCTACAAAGTAATAACTTGTTTATTAGACGACTCGGATGAAGTCTTAGCTAATGAAATCGACACAGAACCAAGGAGGCTGGGAGAAGGTTCTCGGTCGTTGGTCTCGCGGCGGGTCTACTCTGTATGACTTGGAGTTTTTGCATGACGCTGAAGGCCGACGTGTTTCTGCGTAAGTTTCTCTCCAACATGTAGCTTGAGATGCGGCGATTTTGCCTTTGTTTGTAAAGTCTCGATGGTTGAAGACAGGGCGGGTTTGCGCCAAGGCGCAACAGCCAGGTTTCTCATGACTAGGTCAGAAGTTCGCCTTCCGATGGGTGTTGTTCTTGTGACCCTCGCTTTGGCGACCTAAAAGGAGCCGGGCATGCACGACCCCCCAGGTGGAGCTCGGAGTTTGAGTCTTATGATGCAGTCTTTAAGCACGGGTGGCTAAGCAGCATCTTCTGGAGACCTCAATCTGCGCCTGGGGGCTCGTAATGGCTTTGCAAGTTTTTGATCGAGGTGGTATGAGCTCTGCAAATGAGCTCGTACACCGTTCATCTTCCAAATCTCATGATTCACGGGGCTTCACTCTAGGTTCCTGCTATCAAGCAGTATCCATGCCGCACCTCAAGCGAGGTGTGCTACGGCCCTTCAAATTGGATTCATGCGTTGCGGGTGCTTCAACAACTGAACCTCCAAACGGATTAAACGCCAGATCGTCTGTCTTTCACTTGCTGACAACTTTTCAGGTTTGGGTAATGCTGGTTTCGCCGGCGCTGCGCTCGGAATAAAGACACTTGCCCACCAGCTGCAGGACTCGTCATCCAAACTTCCATCTGTCGAGACCTTCACCGATGGCCGCGGATATTACCTGAACGAGGATGAGCTCGTCAACCAGATTCGCGAGGATCTCGCCAAGGCTGAGAAGGCTCTCGGACGTAAGCCCACTGCTCTCGTCCTTGGTGCTCTTGGACGATGTGGCAAGGGCGCTGTGGACCTTTTCCTCAAGGCCGGCATGCCTGATGAGAACATCACTCGCTGGGACTTGAACGAGACCAAGGACCGTGATGGTTAGTTATATATGTGCTTCTGTGTGTGCCCTGGATGATGGAAACTAACCTCTTCAGGCCCTTACGAGGAAATTGCGAAGGCTGATGTCTTCCTCAACGCCATCTACCTCTCCAAGCCCATCCCCCCTTTCATCAACCAAGAACTCCTCGCCAAGAAGGGTCGCAACCTCGCTGTGGTCATCGACGTTTCTTGTGATACCACAAACCCTCACAACCCCATCCCCATCTACTCCATCAACACCACCTTCGAGGACCCCACCGTCCCTGTCGAGATCAAGGACGATCAGAACAACCTCCCCCTCTCCGTCATCAGCATTGACCACCTTCCTTCTATGCTTCCCCGCGAGGCTAGTGAGGCCTTTAGTGAGGTCTCAAGGAGTCTCTGCTCACCCTCAAGGACCGCAAGACTTCGCGGGTGTGGGCTGATGCTGAGAAGCTCTTCCATGAGAAGGTTGCTACGTTGCCCGAGGAGTTGAGAACCAAGAGCGTTTAAAAGTGCTATTTATGCTGTAGTTAAGCTGACTACATAGACCAAAATAGAAGGCTGTAAGAACAGCCTGATTGAAGTATAGATACTTGCTTATGATGTGAAGGTTGAGTTGCGTTACTGTTTGCTCAACAGAAGATGTTGACGGGTATAAATCTACAGGGTAAGACACAAGGGTTCTTCCAATCATACAACAATTGAATTAAATGGGAGTCGACACATTACGCAAGCCAACATTTGAACTCGACCATCTTATACAAACTCCTTGAAAGTCACTCTCCACCTTAAGCCACGTCTCTAACCATAGCCATTGTAGTCCAATAAGACGCGTAGCACTATCTCAAGTAGGCAATTGTGAAGCTGAAAAGTCGGGACAGCAGAAAACTGGACACCCCCGCTAATTACGAGGCCCAAGCAAAAAGTTGATTGGTAGATCCTTCAGCAGCAAAATAGTGTGAGCAAAGATACCTACCTCGTGGGCATTGCTTCGCCGATGGTTAAGTACAGAGTCGACCATTTTATGATCCCTGAATTTAGCGCGACGCTAACTTGCCCGAGTTCGTTGAGTTTCTCATCAGATCAGTGGAGCTCGTCATCTTCGACTTCGGTTTACTAGGTTACGATGGCTTCCTCAGACAAGAATGATACGGTCGTCGAGTCCATTGAGGATGAGGAGGCCTCCGAGGTGACCCATTCAGGGGCTGTTGACTCTTCAACGGCCGAGTCAGCTGCTCAACCACCCAGAGGGTGTGAAGTTTCCAACAAGATTGAGCAAGCCACTGCAGAAGCTTCAAAAGCAGCTCGACCTGCTCAATCGCCCCGGATTTTACAACCGCGAGTTTCTCAGTCACCTCGATCGGTTGGACGACCTCTAGCTCCGGCTCAGGTTCAACATGCTCAGATGGTGCAGCCGCAGTCTGCTCGGGTTGCGCAGTCTCCTCATCACCAGATGCCACAGTCTCCTCACCAGATGCCGCCATCTCCGTACATGGCTCAGCATCCTAATATGGGATATGCTCATACTCATCATGTTCCACATTCACCTTATATGGCTCAGTCGCCTCATCAGATGCCTCAGTCGCCTCATCAGATGCCTCAGTCTCCGTATCAAATGCCACATAGTCCTCACCCTCACATGCCACAATCGCCTCATCCGCAAATGGCACAGTCTCCGCATCCCCATATGCCACAAAGTCCGCACCCGCAAATGGCACAGAGCCCTCATCCTCAGATACCGCCATCTCCATACATGGTACACCCTCACTATGCTCCTCAACCGGGGCATGCACCCCCTCAAAGCCCCCTTTTCACACCCCAAGGAACTCCTATCATGACACCCCAGCAATCTCCTCTCTTTACACCACTAGCCACACCTCGATTCACACCTACTCCAACCCCTGGACCTCAATCCGCTGCTCCCACGCCAGCTCCATCAGCTACTCCAGCTCCCTCATCCGTTTCTTCGACTCCAGCACCTCACTCCGTCGCCTCAACACCCGCACCATCCTCCATAGCATCTACCCCCGCACCCGAATCTTCCTCCAGAGGCCAAGTAACATATGACATGGGACCTCCGCCCAAGAAGAAGAGAGGACCGAAGCCAAAGCCGTTGTCAGAGCGTAAATTGCTACGGACTACACCGATTGTGCGAAAGGAGGCTAGTTACTCGAAGAGAAAGAAGGAGGAGGTTATTGCGTGGATGCTTCATACTCGCGTTGATCGGAGGGGAGAAATGGTGCCGCCTTCTACGACGGATGCGGAGAATCACTTTCAAATTCCGAGGAGTACTATTGCTGGGTGGAAGAAAATGCTGTAAGTGATATTGTGATTGTGATATGATGTGATGAGATGAAGCTGATAGTTTTACAGTTTAGGCCTTGGGCCAATTCCAAAAGTATTGCCGCATGAACACGCAACGGACGCGCCCTAGAGATAAAAAGTTGAAAAGTTGAATAGATAATTAATAATTATACCTTGATTATATCAGATTTAAGACCGCTTTTTGCTTGAAACCCTGTTTCATTTTGTTGCCCGCTTACACAATCTGCCTGAGCTTTTAGGAGCAAGAAAATACAAGACCAAGTTTAAGGCGACAAAATAAACTCCCTAAAAGGTATTCTAAATTTATCCTAAATTCATCCTAAACTTATCCTAAGTTACCTAAATATTTTTATCAGTTAGGGTCCCGAGTTTTATTTCCTCCCCTCCAGCCAAGGTTGAAGTGAAGTCAACAGTGTTTACGTCACCTATAAATCCGATAACCCCGCCAAAACCCCCCTTAAGAACAACCCGTAAGCACCCAATACTCACAACCAATTCATCCAACTCATTCTCAATTCAAACACCAAAATGTCTTCCCTCGCAAAAACAATCGTAGCAACCGGTGTTTCCTCCGGAATCGTAAGCCCTCAAGCCCCAGCGCTTTGTAAGAAAAACTAACATATACAGGGCTTCGAAGCAATCAAACAGCTCCTCAGCCAGAGCCAACCATACAGAGTCATCCTCGGCGCACGCAACACCAAAAATGCGCAAAAGGCTTACGATGAGCTCAAGTTCGACCGTGAATCTCATGGTGTGACTGTTCTTCCATTGGAGTTGAATGATTTGAAGGGTGTCGAGTCTTTTGCGGAGCAGACGCTTGATAAGATTGGCAGAGAGAAGATTGATTACTTGTTGCTTAATGCTGGGTTGGGAGGTGTTGCTGCTGAGGGGCCGGGACCACATGGGTCAAAGTGGTGTGAATCCCACGTTGTGAACCATCTTTGTGAGTCTACCAAGCAAGGTTGGATGTGAGATACTGATGGCTTATAGCGCAGCATTATCTCGTGCATCTCTTGAGGGAGAAGTTGGTCGAGTCCAAGTCAAGAATCGTGTTTGTTTCGTCCGGCGCTATCAGACGAGTCTCTGATCCCAGTAAGTCACAACATCCACGTTCAAGTCTCACGTTCTGACCTCGCACATGTGTACTCGACACTGAACTCAAAGCCGGATCTGGTGCATCCGCCAGCACGACATACTGCAACACCAAATTCACCGGCCTCCTCGGCGCACAGTGGTGGCGTCGCCAACTCGCCGATACCAACGACGTGGTTGCTGTTTCACCTGGTCTCATCCCTGGTACGGGTCTCGCGAACCGAATGGGCATTAAAGCTGATATGGCTGACGCAAAGTCGATCCCCGAGGGTAAATTTTACATACCATTGTGCTGGGACGTGTAACTAATTGTGTGACAGGTGCACAAAGTGTTCTTGCGGCTATGACACGAAGTGACTTCCCTGAGGATCGTGATCGGATCTTCTTGACGAGTTGGGGCGAGTGGTGGGAGAAGAGTGTCATCGAGAAGTCGACGGATAAGGAGTTGCAGGATAAGTGGTGTCCCAGTAAGGAGGAGATTGAGCGCGAGGCTGGCATCTCATCCTGAGGATCTAGTATCAGGGCATTGACTCTAGATCAAGGGCGAGAATAAACTTGTAAAAGAGCATACCAAGTTTCTCTGAGAGTACCGTCAAGTCACCTCAACAGGTATGACATCTAAGATGAGAGCCCCAAGTCCTCTCTCTGTACTTAATCTGCGGGTGGATGTAAAGAAGCTGCGAGGTAGAACTGCCTCTCAATGAGAAGAGTCAATAGACCACAGGGAGTAAGCATGTCTCACACCAACCAACACTCAGAACTTGAATATGAAGCAAATAATACCAGAAATAATATTGGAATCTGATTCCCTTCCCCCAATGACATTGATAGAAGAGAATAGCCATCCCACCAAGGCGTTGCCTCTATGGTGCCTGGAGAGACAGAACCCCAGAGGCCATGTATCTGGCGGACTCACATAGAAGGGCCCAAGAGCGGTAAAGCAAACTCTACTGGTACCGTTATTCCCCTAAGAAAGGGGTCTCTACCAATGCTGGTGCATCACAGGACCAGCCCTGGCCTCATGAAGTACTGTAAGGGGCAATCACCCGCGTTCAGGACATCAAGTTGCAGATATGGTCAACCAGTATGGCAGTGTTTGGGTGGCAGATATGGCCCCTATGGAAGTACTCTGAGATAAAGACTACCAGGTTCATACGCTATTACTCAAGTTCGCATTGTGACTGTTGTTCTGCTTCATCCTATTTTATCCCTTCCTTATGTCTGGGCCATGAACAGCCCCATCTTCATCCTTGACACTGATCATACACTTGCACACTATATCAAGAGACCAATGGCGATTTCCTATCAGTTATTCTGCCACTGGCAGCTGTGAGCTACGAACCGCACTACCCGGCACAGTGGCAGCCGAAACGGTCCATGCATGGCCAATCAATAGATCCGTCTAGTGAACCAAGGTCAGAATGGAGGCTATTCACTGTGAATCATTGTTGAACAGCTGCCATTGTTAGAACAAATCTCAGTAGCAGTGGCAGTTTTCCAAAGCTATAAAGCTACGATCTTCTCCCCCAATCCTGAATCTTTCAACCTCACCCTTCAACCTTTTCACAGTTGACATCGCATCACAACAACTCCTTCAACAACAACAACCCTCAACAACAAACACCACCCTACCAACTCAATCATCTCTTCACCATGAAGCTCATCGCTTTCCGTAAGTCCACCACTCCCCCCAGTATCATGACCTCTCTAACCATCCCAGTCCTTTTCCTTCTCGGTCTCGTCAACGCTGGAGTTGTCCGCACTCCCGCTGAGGCTGCCACCCTCACCACCGAGGCTACCGCTCCCGTTGAGGATGCTGCCATCAACGCTGAGCCTACCCTCCCCGTCCAGCCTACCACGCCCGTCGCTACCCCCTCCGCCTTCATCGCCAAGGGTGAGAAGATGGACTCCTGCAACATCCAGTGCGCCTTCTGGTACCAGAAGTGCTACTACCGCCCCTGGGGCTACACCTGTGATGACAACGGTCTCTTCCGTCGTCGTGGATGGAACCCCGACTGTGAGAAGAACTGCTGGTGCAACTGCGATTCCAAGTAATCGTGACAAGATCACCGGTGTTAAATCTTGATCGGAATGATGAACGGATCATAATGGAGATGAACGAAGACGAAAGGAAGAAATGGTGGTTGGCTCGATGTTACCCTGTCTGTGGGCTCGAGAATGGTGTTTTGTTTTGATACCAAGTCGCTCTGTTGAGCTGGACTTTGGTCAGTGGCGGCTTAGGCCTGCTAGCTAGAGAAAATGTGAACTCCTTTCGTCTAAAACTAGATATTGAACTGTAGATGCTACTTGTGTCTGTATCTGTTGTGATAATATGAGCGACCCAGTCTTGAAGGGAGCTCTAGCGCTGAGCCTCACAGCCAATACGTAGCCCCCGAAAAGCAGCACTGGAATACAGGTGAGACCTGTAACATCAGCTAAGAAAGAAATGTTTCCCAGAACCGCGACGCGTTTGTGAACTAGTATTGTCCAATGTGGCCAGTGTTCACAACGGATCTTTGTTCTGGTCCATTCAACGGAGTGGCAAGTCACTTGTTCAACGTACGCAGGGCCAAGGCGGTTTATTCTTGTATGTTTATATCCAATATTCATTTATATTCTAGTCCTTCACAAAGATATCCTGGTATCAAGTACTTTTCGTCCGACCTTACTTCTCGGCATCAGCATCGCTCTGCGAGGCACCCGGCACGGTCGTCATCGCATCGTTGAACACAGGACCGGGATGGCTGATGCACAAGAAGAATACCGCAATGGTAATTAGACTGCACACAGTTAGTACCGACTATCAACAAAGACACTTGCAACTTACACTCCCTCGAGACCAATGAACAATCCTTCATTCGTGATGAGATCCGAGTGTTGATACCCCTTGCTCAACTCATAACATCGGAACGCACATCGTGCAAGAATGAGGATGACCGCCGCGCTCAAGAATCCGAAAAAGATTCTCATACGGTTTCCCATTGCACTGGCATTCCCACTGCGGAAGTACCGCCAGAGATAGTCACCGAGAAGAGCGCAGAAGAGAACGAGGATGACAACTTGGAGGGACAGACCGGCCAAGGCGATATCGACACCAGTTTGGCTGGAGCCCTGGTTGACTGTTGACAATGCCCCGCCTGCAGCTTGGAGGACAAGACAAATGACATCAGCTGGGATGAAGATCCACCAGACGAGTTCTGGTCTGAAGCGGGAGACTTCTGGTGCAAAGTATTTGATCCTGGGTTGTCAGTCAAGTCATTACCTGTTAGAATGAGGGGCCTTACGTCTTGGAGAGCGTCACGTAAATGGCAGCTGTGTAAAACACAGGACCACTCGTGATAAACACAATCTGCACCATGAAACCGCCAAAGTTGAAAGGGTTGTTATACATAATAATCCTTCCAATATATCCGATAATCTCAAACAGACACCCAATCATCATGAAGCTCATATAGAACCACTGCTTCCACTTGATGCCCAAAACGAGATGTGTCCCCATGGCGATGGCGTAGAGGACGATGAAGGTGACGTTCGCAGCGAGCGAAGGGCGATATTGGTAGACGCTCCATTCTATGGGACACAGAGCGAGAGTACAGTTGGCGTCGGGACCAAAGATGATCACGTTGTCTAGCAGTTCCAGCGACATGATGACTGCTTAGTTTGATGATGTTGATACTGAGAAGTTGAGGTGAGGGGTGAAGAGAAGAGATAAGGTTGATGGGAGTCGGTCAGGAGTGGAAATAGCCTTTTGGCGTCGGAGGATTGTTTTGCTTTATACATCCCCCTCCCTCCCTCATCCATTGAACCCTGCACGTCAGTATTCAAATCAACTCAAATTGTCTCAACACCGCGTGTCATTCCTAGTTACCACCCTCGAATGACTATCCAAATCCATCACCAACGCCAAGCGCTTCAGCCCTGCGACAAGCGAATCCGAGCACTGAACCAATCAGAACCCCCGAGTGCTATCAGATCCAGTAAATTGAGTCACGGAAGCTAGGATGACACCCCTGTAGCGCTAAGCCTCTTGGGGGAACGCTTTCGAGGTGTCTAAGTTGTTTTTGGGAAGGCCTTTCGAGGTGGGGATGGTTGGTACGTCACGTCAGTTTAATGACGGCTTGATGTTGTTTTTTGTGTCTGAAGGAATGCGAGTGCGAAGGCGTTTTAGGCCCGATAACGGTTTTTGGGATCGGATGAATCAGCAGCAGTTTGAGAACCTTATGGTAAGTACCCTCTTTGAGGTGAAGTTGGTGATACGTATGTATACGACACGACTACCACCAACAAAAGCTCCAATGCACACTTCAACGGTGAGCACGTTTCATGGCGCATAAGACGGCAGTGCTTTGTCTATCAGCACATCTACCGTAGTCATGTGCAGTCATCAGTGGATGATATCCACAATCCCCAACTCCCATTACTCGTACATCAAACATTCCTCATTGGTCTCGGTCCCGATAACAACGTTCCCCAACCGACGATCAACAATTTACGGTTTCATAAGCGTAGTATTAGCCAAGATACATTTATTTTCACTCTATATGGGATCGTCGTCATCTGTAAACGAATTCCTATATTTTAAGCATAATCCTTTCAAGGTTCAGTCCGGCTCGAAGTTATCCCGCTTGACACTTTTAGCCCCTGGCCATGGTGCGACGTTGACAACGAGGCGTGGCGGAGCTACAGGAGACATGAAAATTGGGGATCCCAGTTCTAAGTTTATTTCATTCGTTTGGTCACTAAATTCAATCGATGAAGAGGCTTAGGTAAATTTAGGATAAGTTTAGGATAAACTTAGCATGCATTTAGGATAAGTTTATTTTGACACCTTCTGACAAGGCACAGGTCAGGCACTAGACATGTTGCCTATTGTTTATAGGGAGTTGCGAAGTCAACAAACCGCTGCTCCTGTTACGAAGCTATCCAATAGATAAGAAATGGACTCTTGAGCGAGACCTTAGCTGTTGAGAGTAATAATCTTGTGTGCTTCTGTAAACATAAACTCCTTCTAAAGTGCTAATTAAACCCTGCTATCTCGATACTACTTTGACACTGGGCTACTATTAGACTACTAGATACTAACATAATATTTGATGGCTCGATCTTTTGACTCAACGTCATATAGCGAGACCCCCGGAAGGTCCCTGTACTCTCATAGTGCCTTCGCTGAATGTGAAAAGCTGCAGCTAAACAGTTCTTCCCCTAATGGGGGCTGATGGACCGCCCTTTGGCACATGGGAATAATATCCCGCTCAAAGCCACGCGAGGCTGCGGACCAACGACCTTGGTACACAGAGAATTGTCGCAGTGCATAGTAGGATTATTAGGATTCGGGCCCGCCCGAGAGGACGAGAGATCGAGCAGAAGAAGATAAGACCTCAGCACAGGACCAAGCCTGAACAGGATGTTCGAACTTTGTAGGTTTGATCGTGTTGGTGATGTCCTCGCTTAATACTTTAGCTGTTATCGCTTCGATGTAGCGAACAGCGGCTTTGCAGCCATGGCAGCAGCTTATGGGCTTGAACCGGTCTGAGTATATACCGAAGGGCAGGCCTATATGCTCCAACACATTCCTCAGAGCACCATGTGACTCAAGAAGTTACCGACGGGGTACGAGCTCAGGTTGCTTACTTGATGCTTCTAGCATTAGGATCGAAGAAATGTAATTCGCTCAATGTAGGTTCTGTTTGAAGGACTCGTGATAGAGAGTACTAAGGCAAAGCGTGAGTTCTTCGCACGCGTCTTCAGTTACTGGGGCTCCAAGGCCGGGAGACTCTTTCGAATTGATCAAGCTATCCGTAGGGGTGATCCTAGCCGTGGTTGGTTATGCCCACGGGTGCGTTTCTTGGACGGGCTGCGTGCATTGAAGCACAACAGATGGAGGCTTTACATCCGTAACAACATCGCGCAGCCCTAATAACGTCGCTTTCATATATAAATCAAGGCGAATCAGGTCCCAATGTTGCTAAGAGGGATCATGTTGCTCCCAGACCACGAGTGTTGGAGGAGCAGCAGGGGCCATCTTACTCGGCGAAGAGAGCAGCAGGGACTGTAATGCCTCTGGGGAGGAACTCGAGTCGTGTTCTATGTGACTCATAGAGTGAATATTGTGGCAATAATATATTGGTAGGGATTTGTCGATAGTTCTAAAGAGAAGTTTGCATTTCGTGCGGGGAAGCTAGCCAGTATATACTAGCCTTGTCAGACTTTAACATCCTGTTGTGGGCAAGACGAACCTACAAATCGGAGACCATTCATCGGTGTTTCGGCTTGTGAGAATTGCAGGACAGTCGAGATGGTAGTCGGCAAGCAGAAGCCACATAGAGATATCTCTCTGGTGATGACTTCGTGAGACAGCAAGCTAACTGGCTGAAGCTCTCGGCATTCGTCATGGTGTGATTGGTGGTCGGTAGTGTGACAGGGCACAAATTCATGATGCTTTTTGACTGTCAGTATTATGAATCGCCATGATTTACCATAAGTTGATGTTTCGTTAGCATATGAAGGGCTTACCTGAATCTATATAAGTCGCGCGCCGGTCCACGCGAGAGTGTATGTATACTGATGCTAAGAGTAGAACTGTGTGCAAATACTCTTCAGGCCCAACTTCCTTTTGTGGGATCTCCGAAGCCTGGACCTTGCAATCTCTTTTATGGATTTCTGAAATGGGTGTAATATTGCCGCGTCAAGTGACGAACCTTCATGGTCGTGCCAGCTATCCGCAGACCCTTTTGAGGACAGCGTCGTTGTTAATATGATCGTTCTTAGTATCATGTGACGGACTTCACATCGGCTTGCTGGTAGTCACAGCATTCGGCCATGGATATGCAAGTATCACAGATTTGGTGCCTATACGCTTTTCTGTAAGGGTTATCGGCAAGGCGACAGGGCTTGCAACGACCTAGACACCGATGATCATGAGACTCAAGGTTTTGCTTCTCGTTTAGGTAACCTAGACACTCTCCTGAGGCCTCTGGGTCATGAGAGTGGCCGACGCAATCCTCCAGGTCGTGTCAGCTGTCCGCAGACCTTTTTGAGGACAGCGTCGTTGTCAATATGATTGATCTGAGTATCATCGCCGCCGTCCGGGTCGTCGTATGGGTCATCGTCCTCATCAGACTCTTCATCGTTACTCTCTAAACCCAGCTCTGTTTTGTCTTCTACTTATTCTGGCTCTGGCACAGAGTCCAATCCCTCCTCGTCCGCTGCCTGAAGATGGATAGTTGAGGGAGGACTACTGGGGTGTAGCTTGATAAGAACCGAATATGTGGTGAAATCTCAGACCGAGCACTTGAGTCGCAGGCTTTGTCGATCAATAGCAAAGATAGATACACCGCGCATTGCCCTTGCTCCAATTGCAGGTTTGAGCCGAATTCGCAAAAACGCCACTTTGGGAACAAGAATTCATCAAGGGATAACACTTCCTCTAGATAGTCTTGACTTATCCTCTAAAGAGCTCTCTTACAGGATAATATACTATTATATAATGTTGTGCAGCTTGTGTGTATATATAACGAGAGGATTGTATACCACTCTGATAGAACTTCTGGTAGCATGAGAAAGGGGGCGTCGGTCGTCATAACTTGCGAACCATGTGATACCCCAGAGCCGTGTTTAACTTGGAGTGTAATATAGTATTGCGGTCTGGTCTGAGCTCAGTGGTAAAGGAACCAGATCGGAGGTGACCATCCCCAGGTAAGAGGCCGTGATGCAGAAAAAGTAAGAGAGATTTGGAGGAACAAGACGGGCAATTTATAGTCGAAATCGCAGCCTGCTTATTCATCATTGCCCCTAAATTCATTTCATTCACTTGGATGAGTTTGATAACATTGTTTGCAGTTGCTTGGTTTCTGGGTAATTGGTATGCTGCCTAAAGTGTGTTGATGAGAGTGTTTTTTGAGTTGATAGCCCTGATGGCTGATGCTTGTATCGCGCGCCTTACTCAAAGTTGCTCCGTTGCTGGCAACTCTGCTCAACGACATCGTCTGCTTTTGCAAAACATATGTAAAGTCTTTGGAAAATTGGCGGCACAAGCAAGCTGGATTGTCCTGAACGCTCGAAGTCATCACTACTCTGTGTCTTTGTGTCACCTGAAAGAGGGAAGCGGGCAATGTTTGTGTTACTGCTGTGAAGCAAGAGATGTGGGAAAACTTGCCTCTTTGTCTTTTCAGAATGCAAATTTGTTGCCAATGATGGCGATTTTCAGCCAGCAACAACATCGCTAGCTTTCAAATTTTGAAGAAGCAACATGTTGCCTATTGTCTATAGGGAGTTGCGAAGCCGACAAACCGTTGCTCCTGTTGCAAAGTCATCGGACAAGCAATAAACCCCCAAACGCGACCTTAGCTATTGAGTGTAACAATCTTGCATGCTTCTGTGAATATAAACTCCTTCTGAAATGCTACCATTACCTCAACAACCTACACCTATAGCCATAATGGGCCTCAGCAATCTAAGCCAGAGCTTGCAGGAGGGCATCAACCAATATACAACGCCCACTGCTCCAACAGATACAATGGCTTCGATAACAGATATACCCTCTATGCGTGCGGCATGTATCAAAACGCCGCTTTTACGACCAAACATCGTCATGTTTCTGGTATCGCGGAGCCTGAAGAAGCCAATCCGCTTGTTAGCATCAGCAAAATGGGAAGCACTCGGGTATGCCATCTCATTCCAATACTATAATATCGTATCTTTCATAATCATGAGTCTTTGTGAGCAACCTGCTGCTCTGTAGTCCTTACAGGGTGAACATTACTAGAGTCACGGCCGTTGTGTTCCCTTGGACGAAGGCAGCAAGGTTCGGATAATTTAAGACTAGATACCCCCGAGCCTTAGAATCAATCGAGACTAGACTTGTCAACAATTAGGGTCTGAAGAGCTTGAATAAGAACATACGCAATTGCATCCAGCTACATTACTCGTGCCATCATCCTGGAAGACGATATATCCATTACCAGCTACATTTTATATCTCAAGAAAAAGCCAGGATCTGCTCGAATAGCACCCTTTTCTGTTACGGGAAGACCTAGATGGAGTTACATAGTTGTTCAACTATCTACAAAGCATCTCTTACTTATCCCGCTGAACAGGGGTTGATGTTCAATAAGCGTACAGATCATGAACCTTATTCTTCTCTTCAATTATAGCTTTTAGATGTACACTTACATATCTACTTCACACTCTGTCACCCAAACCCATGGTGATGTCTTTCGATCATGGATATACTGTAGCTGCACTTCATTCTGTCTCATCATCTTATGACCGTCTCAAGCCACACCGGAGAGAGTCTCTCCAAGGTCATCTTAATTGCCATACTACCTGTTGAGCCCCCATAGATAAGCTACCTATATATAAGCCAGTGACAATTGTAGTCCTAGTTGCAGTGAAACCGTGTTCGGTTGGGAGTGGCAGACTTGTGATGCGCAAGGGCTATTGTGTTCGATCTGTTACCACTGGTACCGACCAAGTCTCGCATGTAAGTAACTAAGAGCACCTATTCTGCCCATTCATCTATCCTGTACCTTGACTCATTCTTCAACATTGATCAACTATCACCACTGTCATTACTTACAACTATCAACCAATATATTGTCACCACAACCTTCATCGATGGGCACTTTATGGATAAGAACTGAGATTTAGCTACCGAAAACAATATTTATTTACCAAGAAACAAAGATAAAGTTGATGCTTTAGTATTTAACTTTTGTTTTTATAGGCTAATCCCTGCCAAAGTACTAAGCATGACAGAACAGTGAAATGCTTGTGTCCATCCATCCACCAATTTGAGATATTTTAACTATGTATTTCCATTAATCCTTCTCACTTGGTTTCACCAACAAGCGGTGAGCGCTTTATACTCCCAAAATTCCTGGCTCCTGGTTGCACCCTCCTAAGGCTACGCTGGATCTTTAGCATGAAGGATGAACCGCCCAAGTACCTTGTCCGTCATGATCCTTGTGTAATAAATTGGGCGTTTGTCCTTGGTGATCTCTTCAAAGACGAACCTGGTTTGAAGATCCCCAAGGCGTTCCAATGAATCTGCAATCCTGGCCACCTTGAACTTTTCGTTACACTCAGGGTGAAGCTTTCCAGGCTCATGATTTGCGGCTACTCCTTCTGTGTCCGTGATGTACTCTTCTGATGGACCGGCATACTCCTCATACTCCTCCTCATCATACTCCTCCTCGTCCTCGTCCTTCAGAGGACAATCATTATAGACGACATAGACTGCTCCAAGCCCGCCTTTTCTGTCAACTTCAACAACAACGGCAAATCCGTTTGACCACCAGAGGCCTTGGTAGATGGTGGGAAGGTTCTCCGGAACTGCGTCTTTGCATGGCCCCCCATAAACGCGGAGAGTTCCGATCTGAGCGAATACAAGATATTCATCCTTATCAGGCGCTTTTTCGGCATGCTCTTTGCGGGGGAGCATATGAGAAGGGGTAGAAGAGCGTGGGCGTGAAAAGACATATTCGCCATCAGAAATTGATCTAGTGCTAGGATTGAACACGCTGCTCGAAGCTGAAGCTGGCGCGAGGCCAGACGCAGCACGAGTCTTAGACTTGAGCTTCATGGTGAGAATGTATCTGCCAACGACATCTGGACCAGACTCCACTTGATCGGGTTCAAGATAGTCGACCTGGGGCTCGAATGCGTAAAAGGTTTGGACACCTCCGAACTGGGATGTACCAATAGGGACCCAAGGCATGGGGTACAAGGCGATAGTCTTCAAAAGTTCGCTAGTTGATTGGTTGTCTGTGAAGTTGGTCGCCATGAGTTGAGCAATGAATTCCTTCGGCTCCATCCTATATGCCATCCTCTGAGTGCGGCGGCTCAACCACTCGTCAGACCAGACACGGAAAGCCTCTTGATGCGCTTCTTCGGGGAAATCCTTAGCCACCAACTGGTCGAATGCGTCCCAATCAGCACCCGGCCGGTAGCATTGAGCGATTTCCGCCGATTTAGCGTCGAACCATCTCATGAAATTCCATTGCAAGTCACCCCAGCCCAGCTGGATCTCTTGGTCGCTTTTGGGTCGCGGCATTCTTGTGGTTTGGTGCTGGAAGATGTGAAAGAGTAAGAGAGGAGTTGATAAGTCTTATATCTGGGAAGAGAGGTTTAGCGCAAGTTAAGGGAAAGAGAGGATAGGGCTGCTATTTTATACCTCGAGCGAGTTAAGATTGCGGCAGTAGAGTTTGGAAAATGAGGCTCAGGAACTCAAAGGCAATAGGATTTGCAGATGAGGAGCACGGCAAAGTTTAATGGTGTGCTGTAAGAAAGGTCTCAGTAAGAGTCCAAGTGTCGGTGATTAACAGGTAGCGTGAAGAGCAAGAGTGAGGTAAGAGTGGAGGATTTCACAGGACAGAGATAAAGCAGTTAAGGCAGGAGCAACCGTGAATAGATAGGTACTACCTAGGTTACCTAAGGTAATGGCTAAAAATCAATCTTTGGTTGTCCCATCGACTCTCCCGTTATTACTACAAGGACAAGAAACAAAACCGAAAGGTCCATCTGCCCACCAACTGATATGCAACTAGCAAGCAGCCCAAGGCTCATGAATCTTTTCATCAATCCCGTCTTCATTTGTTGACCTCAACAGGCAGAGAAAGAGCAGGCACAATGGTGAGCCCCTGTTCATGGTGCTCCAAGAATTGTGCGCGATGGATCACACAGGTGGTTTTGGTGATGGGGAGAAAGCGGAACTCTTTATCAAAGTGTCCTAGCTCATCGAGGCTATTCGCAATCTTAGCCAGAGAAAAGCCTTCATCGCAACGCGGGTGAAGTCGTCCGGGAACATGATCTTTGGCCTCGGGTGCAAGTTCCACTTCGTCATCGTAGTCTTCAACGTCGATAGTGCTGTTTGGATGATAAAGAACATAGACCGCTCCCGGCTTGCCTTTATTGTCGAGTCGAACTACCACTCTCAGGTCATTTCGCCACCATGGTCCTTCCCACAAGACATCAACGCCACAACCTTTAGCATGATCATATTCCCCTCCATATACGTAGAGTAGACCCAGCTGAGCGAAGACAAAGTGATTGGGGTCAATCTCATTTCGAGCTAGCTCGACAGGGTCTGGTTGCTGTTCAGGACCAGTCAAGGCACGGGGACGGAGGTAAGGCTTTTCAGGCCTTGCGAGATTAGAGGGTATCTCTGGAGCGCTCAAAGATAATCCAGTGGTTTCCGGAGAGCCACTAGAGACTGAAAGCGTACGGGCTTTGTCGAACTTTACGTTAATAGCAAGAATGTCTTTGAACAGAATAGATGGTCCAGACTCGTTACAGTCGGGCTTAAGGAGCCTATGTGCAGGCTCGAAAGCGTAATAGGACTCGACACCTCCGAATTTTGCGTAGCCGATTGGAATCGAAGATAAGTTGTAAGTATCCATGGCCCACCAAAGGTCATGTATCATAGAGCCCGCTGCCTCGAGGAAGTCGGTGGCGAGGACTGTGTTGATGAACTCTTTAGGAGACCACTTATAGGACATTCTGAGCATAAAGCGCCCATTCCACTCGCGAGACCATGTGTAGTAATCTTTCCGATCTTTCTCACTGGGCCATCGTTTCTGAAGCAGGAGGTCAAAGGCATTCCATTTGGCCTCGAACTTTAGCGTATCTAGGATGGCCTTCGAGTTATCGAGGCTCCATTGATGAAACAGCCGTTCCCTGGGGCCCCAACGAGCCTGGATCATCTCATCGGTGTCAGGGAGTGGCATTGCGGCTGAGGTCTCCGATTCAATGGGTGACAGTAATGGGATATAAGAATTCTGATATATCTGAGGAGTAAAAATTAGCATCGCTATCATGAAGGAGAAGACGGGCTTTTACACAGTTAGAAAAGGTTTAGCAGAGTGAAATTGAGTTGGCGTGGATGCGGTATGAGTGGCAATCAGGAATATGTAAGTATAGTATATATAAGATAATAAGAAAGAATAGAAAGTAAGCCAGCCCTAAAGAAAAGGGCGCGATGTATATGATCTCTAGTAATGAGTCCTTGGAGATAGTTATGTGTGATAGTGAAGAAGAAGAAGAGGGAACAATTCGGATACCATAAGAAGGAAAAGAAGAGGCAAGCAAGTAGGCAGAAGAATGCAAACGCTAATAGAAGGTGATACAAACATTTAGCTGTCACGGCCACAAATCCACGTGGGAAAACTTAAGCATTAGGTACGGCCAGTGAGTCACGATTGCTCGTTTAATAATGTCAAGGTTTGGAAATGAACGAACTCTAGGGATAGGCAATTTTTTGTGAAACCTTGTTTACCAGAATGTTATCAAACCCAGTTATGGCATCAGTTTTATACTTCCTAGTGATGAACCCGCAGTGTGACAAATCGGTGCGGTGTTTAGTGCGTGGGATAATACGAAGATCATGAGTTCTTCTACAACGATCACTATCGATGTCGAAAACCCTAGTTGTATGGCACCTGGGCGGGATTGGATAAGCAATTGATGAGCGAGACCAGTCATCCGACAGAGTCCAAGTAGACACCTGCATGGAAAGCTCAGTAGCACACAATATAACGCCAGACGCAGGACATAAACACAAGACTTGAGTACCTAACTCTCTACTAGTAGCGAAAGCCATCAACAGCCGGATCCAGACATTTCCCAACATCCTCCATCCGTGATTCTTTTGTCCGCCAACCTCCTTCTCCCTCAGATGTCAATCTCATCCGGCTCACGTACAGGCGTGAGCGGAGGTCCATCTAGCCCGCAAGTCCAAATCTTTGCATTGACAATCTGGGGTTCTTCAGACGAGATAACATCAAACTCAAACTTGCGCTTGTAGGATCCCATATCCTGAATGCTATTGGCAATCTTGGCAATCCAGAAAGAAGAGTTGCTCTTGGGGTGAGGATGTCTAGGGATATAGTGTTCGAGGAAGATGCCTTGCTTGCTGGTCTTCTGTTCGTTCTTGTGCGACTTTTGGTGCTCAACAAGACCCCCATCGAAGTCCTCATCAAGGTCCTCGTCAGAGTCCTCATCAAGTTCATCTCCAAACTTCTTCAGCTTAGGTTCCGGGTCGGGATGGTGGATGACGTAGATCGCTCCAGGCTTGCCATTTGGGCCGAGCCGAGCAACCACTGCGAATCCAGTCGGGTTCCATTCTCCTCGTTTGTCGTCATTGGGGTTACCATCTCGAACTTTCTCCCAGTCCCCAGTAAAGGTCCAGAGCAATCCTAACTGAACGAAGACGAAATCCTGGGGACCAGACTCGCAAGTCGCGCTGACATGTGCGTGCGTCTTTTCCACTGCAGAGGGGATTGCGGCTATGAGGTGGCCTCCTTTTTCACTGTCGGTGTTGAATGGGTGAACAGAAGATCCAGGAGACAAAGGAGGTGAGTGCGGAACATGAATGCTCAAGGCGAGTATCATGCTTCCCAAGACATCGGAATCAGAGTCAGGGTACTTTGGCTCAAGGAAGTCGGTTATGGGCGTGAAAGCATAGCCGCTGAATACACGTCCAAAGGTTGTCTCCCCAATGGCCACAAAGTCCTTCGGGTAGGCACAGATAGCGCGAGACACTCTTTCGACTTTGTCCGTGTCCAGATAGTTGGCTTGAGAGATCATCTCAATGTAGTCCTCAGTGTTCATGGCATACTTATTTCTGACAAACATACGTCCGTTCCAGGCGTGTGCCCATTCAAAGTATTCTCTGCGGCCTTCGGGGTCTGGCCATGCCTGCTTCATGAACTTGCTATGAGCATCCCATGCAGCATCACGACTCAGGGTGTCGAGAATCTTTTCTTTATTCTTCTCCTCCCAAGCGTAAAACTCCCATTCTTGATGGGACCAGCTGGCCTTGATTTCCTCGTCGGTTTTGGGGAGCGGCATCGTGGCTGATTGTTGTGATATAACGGGCGACGTCGAGTGAGAATCGGGGGCTTGGTGTGTCCAGAAGATGGGGTCTAGTGTAGGTAGGCAAGGTCAATTATTGTGCCTCGATCAAAGGTGGTGCAACTCCGTGAGGAGTGAGATTGGCAATATGGTTCAGACTACTCAGAGTCGTCTCATGTGTAAGGATGGATGGTCGACTGTTATACAGCAAAAGAGTGAAGTCAAACCCTTGCAAGGGAAAGGGAAAGAAAGAAAGTAAACAGCGAGAACCAAGTGCCGTTATGTAGGAAGTGTTTGTGTGATGAAGAGGAGAGAGGAGAGTCACTGTGTTGAGGGGAGGTTAAGAATAACGTAGTGGTGAGGTGGGATGCCACTGCGAGTACAAGCTTGAGCCTTGTGTGACGCTTCCGCACAAGGTCGTGCATGTACTTAGACCCAAAGCCTCACTGCCAGTGCGTAGGTAGTTCACCGCCGTCTGCTTGACACCGGCAGATGATGCACTAGAGCAGGAATTGCAAGGAGCTTGGTGGAGGCAAGTCTCAGAATGAAGGAAGCTGATACCCAAGCCCAGGGCAGCGTAGCAAATAGATGACAGGGAATTTCAGAGTATTTTCTCCCTATCTGGCTCCCCAATTAACTATTTCTGCAATGAATCCAGCTGTCGGCCTCGGTAACAACCTCACACTTGTTCAGCGTCCTCGGCCAGCGGTCGACGCGCACGTTCTGTGGGCCTACCGAGTTCGGACGGATACCTACCTGCACACAAGGTTCAGTACGAGAGAATATGGCTCCATGTGGTGAGTAACGCAATTATATCTAAAGCTTTATAATTTTTATTAACACTACATCACAACAAATCATCACCATGAACATTACGCAGTCTCAGCATGAGTCGCCTCCCTTTCCTCAAGCTCCCCCTTCAGACCGCCAGTGCGCTTCGCCTCCTGAACCTTCTCATCAAACCCGCCACCAGCCTTCGCACTTCTCCAAGCAGGAACGTTACTCTCAAACAACACATCAACTTCCTCGAGAGTCTTGCGTGCTGTCTCGGGATAAGTGAAGAAAGCGTGGAACGTCATGGCGATACAGAATGTTCCGAAGATCATGTATGTCTGCCACTGGATGTTGGTGAACGATGGTGGGACAAAGAAGGCGAGTGCCAAGTTGAAGCTGTGAGTGCACATGTTAGTACGTGTTATTGGTCTGGTAGTAGGGGAGTGACTTACATCCAGTTACCAGAGGCAGCGAGACCAACACCCTTGGCTCGGTACTTCAAGGGGAAGACTTCACTGGCGTAGATCCATGCAACGGGTGCCCAAGTGAGACCGTAGATTCCGACAAAGATGTATGCCAGGGCGATGACTGCTTTGGCGGGAGCTCCTGAAATGGCCCAGGTAAGGATGTCGTTGCCTTCGATCCCGTCGACGGGGTATCCGTGAACAGCCATGACTGCTCCGCTAGTGAAATGAAGAACACCGCAGATTAAGGCTCCGCTGATGAGGAGAGGTCGGCGGCCGAGACGGTCGATGTACGGAAGAACAATGCCGGTTGTTACGAGGAAGATGACGTATTGAATGATGGAGGAGGTAAGAGCGGTGTTTCCAGTCATTCCCGCCATTCTGAAGATGTAGACGAGATAGTAGAGCATGACATTTCCACCCCTGGTCATATTAGCAGCTATTCCCCTGCGTTACAGGGGCGTACTTACAGGAGTTGCTGCCAGATCTGTACACTCACACCAACGACGGTGCGTTTCCAGACTCCAGGCGCAAAGAGACCAAGATAGCCGATGTCTTTGGACTCACGGGCGATTCGTACTGCTTCGCGGACCTCTTCCATCTCGGCGATCACAGCAGGACTATCGAGATCACCGCCTGCATGAAGGTGGGCGAGGTTGTAATGCGCTTCTTCCCAACGATCGTGCTGTGCAAGCCATCGAGGTGACTCGGGGAAGAAGAACAGGCCGGCGAGGAGGATGAAACCTGGGACTGCTTGGACTCCCCATGCGATGCGGAAGGCAGCTGGACCGTCAACTCCAACGGAGCATCCGTAAGAGATGAGATACATGATCAAGATACCTGACAACATTAGCACGAATCTTTGCAGGGGGAGATTGTCAAACTCACCCCACTCAATAGACCACTGCTGAATTCCAACAATTCTCCCTCGAATATCCGAAGGCGCAAGTTCCGCAAGATACACAAGGACCTGTGAACTCGTAATACCAACAGCCACACCGCTCACAACACGGCCAACAATGAGATGTCCCACGTTCTGCGCAGAACACTGAAGAACAGCACCAGCAATCCAGAACAAACAAGCGATCATGAGAGCCTTTCGTCGACCGAGCTTATCGGCAATACCTCCTGCGACGAGAGCGCCGACGAATGATCCTGCTGACATGGAGGCCGTGATGCCGCCCTGCTCGGTTGAGCCTGGGCTGTTGAAGTAGTCGAGATACTGGTCGGAGCCGATCCAGGCGCTCATGGAGCTGATGTCGAAGCCGAAGAGCATGCCGCCGATCGTGCCAATGGCAGCGAGCGCTGTTACCGTTAGCTATAACTCCACGTAAACGAAGAAGTGACTGTACCGTAGATGTTCCAAATCCTATACATGATGGATGATGTGAATGAACTGCAGTCTCTTGAACGGTCAAGTCGTCAGTCGGGCTGAGGCTGTTCTTTATATAAGAACACCATCGGGAGCATCGTCAGGGATGGCGTGGAGAAGGTTAGAAGCGCGCGAGTGAGGGTTTGCGATGTGACGGGCCCGCTCAACGTCATGCACTCGTGGAGCTGCCCACGGGGTGATCGTCGCTCGCTTGGTGGGTGATGGCGTTGGTGGCCTTGGCTTTGTAGCTTGGCCTTGCTTTAAATAATACGAAATCCTAAATTTTGACTTTTCATCCCTAAGTTTAGGATGCCGATGCATTTGAACATGATATTCTTCCCTTAATCTAGCATGGCGATACATTTCAGGCTTCGCATCGCGAGCAAGCCTCTAACAACAACTTCACTTTCACAACTTCAGGTTTTCCCTTCTCCACGGCAATACAGTCATTACAAACACCGTTTCATTCACTTACAACCGCGCGAGTCCAAGATTCGATACCCCAGCGGAAACATGAGCGGCTCCGCGAACAGACATCGCAAGAAATGATATCATCGAAAAATTACACGGGAACCCCTGTCAGGATGTCACATCGGGGTACTCCAACAGCGCCATAACCGTGCAGAGTTGACATCCGAGATACGATTTCTCGAAAGACTCTAGAAGTCTTGGCTGAACCTGATTGGAGCGCATGTTGTTCTGTTGGAGGTGAAGCAACGCAATGATCATCGCTGTGTTTGTGTGTGTGTGCCTGATTTTGAGGCTCCACTGATGCTGGTTACATTTCTTGGGGATTTTTTGTTACTGGTCGAATCATGCTTCTTTCTATTTTGCCTAAATTAAAAGTCTCCGTGTCGAAAAAGGCGGGAAATTGTCGTTGGAAGTGATATCTTGGAACCGTTTGGCTACCTATGTCATCAGCGGCGGCGTGTGGGGAAAGGACCGAAAGTTTTGTCTCCATTCCCCGAATTCTTCCCCGAATTCTTCCCCAAATTCTCCACATTTATTCGGGGTAAATTGAGGGCCCCAGGGGATACGAGGATGGAGAGCGAGAACAACTTCAGATATTTGCTGTCTTATGCTTGCCAACCTCTCAAAAGCCTTTGAGAAGCCTTTATCAGACAAGAGAGATCCTATTTTCCGACAAAATGATCCGATGCTCATTCATTATGCCGAATCAGGACAATGGAATTATCATTTGAACAAGCCCATTTGCCAAGTCGGGTGTTCAACCCAAGACGGGTAAATTGATAGTGCAGACGAGAACGGTAATGATCTGAAGGTCTTGGCCAAAGTTCAGAAACTCCTGGAACTAAAAATCAGCGATAACAAACAGTCTTTGTCCATTGAGGGCTTGCCGAGAACATTTCTTAGTGATGAGCCAAGTGTCTTGGTACTCTCATATCCGAGCCAACGGTATACCATCTTCCCTCACCATCAGCAGAACAGATTCTGAATCAGCACGGTAAGTATTCTAAGAGGATCAATCAGAGCATCCTCTGTAGTAAACTGTGTCCTACCCGCACCCGTGGAATCGCATCGTTGGCTCACAAGGGGAGACAATAAAACTTAGGACATCTTTAGGTAAGTTTAGGTAAGCTTAAGGGTAATTCAGGAAGTCTTTAGACCACTTTAGTTTGGCACTCTGATTCGGTCTTTTGGAGGTAGTCCTCATGTCTAATATGTACTTGAAGAAGAAGCTATACTCCCATCTCACATCATCATTTAGTGACATGGTCCTTCAGTGCTCAAGTATCTCATCAACAAGTTCCCAGTCAAAGCAGCCAGCTGCCCAACCTACACTTGCCACCAAATACTCCAACACATAAACCCGACACATAACTCCGATACACAACTCTCACCAGCTCAACACCCAGCTTAAAAGTTAGAGCCAGCCTTGTACTGAGCCCCAGCAGTAACGCCAACGTTCTTAACAACGACGCTCTTTCCAGTACTGCTCGTAACCTTGATATCAACAGAAGTCTTTCCAAAGCCAGCAGGATTCTCGAAGAAGTTGTAGTCCTTGCGCTCAGTGCTCTTCCAGGTGATACCGCCGTCAGTGGAGACCTGCACGCTCTTGACGGGCTCATTGGCGTTGACGACCTGGATGGAGAACCAGTTGGCTGAAGTACCCTCCTTGTTGTGGAGCACGAGGGGCGTGGTGATGCCGCACTCGACGAACTTGTACGACGTCTTGACGATGCCGTCTGTGCCGCCGACGGCTTTGAAGGCATCGGGGAAGAGGTCGAGATGGCCGGGGTCACATTCGGGACACTTGTCGACGATCTGATGGAGTTAGTTTATTACTTTATCTTAGTGTCGAGGGTCTTACCATGGCCTTGATGGTGCCTGAAGGACCGGTGACTTCGATACAGGCACCGCAGTTG